TATCATATTCACAACGAATGAATGAATCAAGTTCCTGACGAAATAATGAATCATATTCCCGACAAATGAATGTATCATGTTTCTGACAAAAGATAAATCATATTTCCGGCGAAAGAATTAATATTAATCCCGACGAATGAATGCATCATATTCCCGACGAATGAATGTATCATGTTTCCGACAAATGAATTAATAAAATTTTCAACAAATGAATGAATCATATTCCTGGCGAATGAAAGGATGATATTTCCGATGAATGAATGAATAAAAGGATGATATTTCCGATGAATGAATGAATAAAGGATGATATTTCCAATGAATGAATAAAACGAGAGAATGAATGAATAAAACAAAAGAATGAATGAATTAAAGAATAAGCGTACTTAAAATGAACTTAGAACTTAAATCATATCAATAAAAAATCAAGAAATATTTTAAATCAAATGAAATCGAAATATATAAAAAATTACATATCTGCAGAATGTACAATTTATGAATAAGGTACACGTAAATGTTTCTAAACCTGTGTAGTATGTGTAGAAATCAGAAGATTTACTAGTTCTACCGATTCATCATTAAACAGTCATAAACTATTTGATAATTCAGCCGTCATTCTTAACTACCATAAACAGGGGAGTATTATGTTCCTTTGATTAGCCGAAGGTGTTTCCTTTATTTGGTGTAGTAATCTCATCTCAGTTTTATTCATTTAATTTCTCAACTTTCCAGTCATTTTTCTGGTAAAATTGGTTCAGTGGAAGTAAGGAGGGGGGNGTATCTATATCGATTCTAAATTCATTTGGCTTGTTCGTTTGTTTGTATTAAAAAAACCCAGAATTATTAGATATCGGTTATTTTATTTTAATGGAATTAAGTCTTTGTCATAAACTGAAATGTTCTAATTCCTATATTTTTGCAACCTGATGGTGATTAAATTTGATATTTCAAACTTAGATTATGTAATCTAACAGAATTTATTGTTTGCAATATCTGCTTTGATATTTCAAAAAGGTCTGAGCTTGGGTTGCAACCACAACATCTTAAATTTGTATTGGCTCAGTACGGAGAGAAAATGAACTAGCAATTGTAAAATCTGGATAACTATATAGCTGAGATTTTAACTAAATAAAAGAGCGTTAAGCCTTTCGACATTAATCATTAAATACTTTAGAGTATTAACTATAGATTTGTATTGGCTCAGTACGGAGAGAAAATGAACTAGCAATTGTAAAATCTGGATAAATATATAGCTGAGATTTTAACTAAATAAAAGAGCGTTAAGCCTTTCGACATTAATCATTAAATACTTTAGAGGATTAACTATAGATTTACGTTCAAAATTTGGAGAAAAGTTTAGGATGTAATGGTTCCGTCATGAATTCATTAGAAACTGAAATACGAGTTCAATTCTATTTTCCTATTATATCTCTAGGTTTGATACTGCCTACGGATGACTTAGACCGGCCTGGTTTAAATCAAGGTCTGTTCATCCTACTGCCTAGAGCAATGCTAATTAGTTGTTCGATATACGGCACAGTGCATATTTAATTATCTGTCTGTTCGTCTATCAATCTGATATATATAGTTTATCCAGCTAGAGATACGGAAATACATGTATTATTATGTATATGTAATATTAACTTTTAATCAAGAGGAATGACAGGGGAGGGGGAGAGCTTCTCAGATTTATGAGATTTTATTTAAAAACAAACGGATTTTTGATAATTTGGTTGAAATAGTTCTGACGCAATCTCGTTCTGGAAATTAGCTTTAACAAATTGATGAACTATTTCACTTGACGGTGAATTATTTTGTCCTTCGTTTTCAAATCATGCATATTCTCAGTCATGCAGAGGAAGGCAGTCACATAGTAGTCATCTACAATCAGAAATTTACATACCCCCCCCCCTCCACCTCCACCCTGACAGGATTTAATTTGTTCTAAATATTTAACGAAATGCAGTCTTTCTGAAGGTTGTATTAAAATGAAGGGCGTTTTTGGGATATTTAAGTTTAATTTTTCTAAAATTATTTTACATATTTTAACTAGGTTCTTCTTAAGTAACTGATTCCTTTAAAACGAAATCCTGATTTCTACCAGACGGAATCCTGATTTCTACCAAACTGAACCCAGATTCATACCAAACTGAACCCAGATTCATACCAAACTGAACTCTGACCCTATTTTTTTAGTTAACAAAAAATATTTTACATATTTTATCTAGGTTCATTATAAGTAACTGCTTCTAAACTAAACCCCGTTTCATACCAAACTGAACTCTGACCTTACCAAACTGAATCCTGATTAAAGCAAACTGAAATCTAATCACACTAAACTGAATAATTCTGATTCATACCACACTGAACTTTAATCCTACTCAACTGCATCCTCATACATACCTTTACTCATACCAAAACTTAACCCTGACTTTTCCAAACTGAATTATGTTCATAGCAATTTGAACTCTGGTTATACCAAACTGAAACCCGATGATTTCCAAACTGTACCCTGATTTTTCCAAACTGAACTACGATCCTACCAAACTGAGCTCTGATCATACCAAACAAAATTACGATCCTACCTAACTAAACCCTGATTCCTACCTAGCTGAACCCTGATTTCTACCGAACTGAACCCTGATTCCTCCCAAACTGAACTCTGATTCCTCCCAAACTGAACCCTGATTCCTCCCAAACTGAACTCTGATTCCTCCCAAACTGAACTCTGATTCCTCCCAAACTGAACTCTGATTCCTCCCAAACTGAACTCTGATTCCTCCCAAACTGAACCCTGATTCCTCTCAAACTGAACCCTGATTCCTCTTAAACTGAACCCTGATTCCTCCCAAACTGAACCCTGATTCCTCCCAGTATCCCCCTGTATCTCCCTGTATCCCCCTGTATCTCCCTGTATCCCCCTGTATCCTGTACTACTGTTCTAGTTCTCCTATGAACGGGAAGGCAGGGTGAACCACGAGGTCAATTTTCCATCCGCTCTCTTCATAACACCTTGTACTAATATATACCAAGAGTTTTATATGTTATATCAAATATTTCATTTATCGTACATTAATACACCCTGCGCTTATATGCATAGCTCCAATATTTTATTTCAATTAACACCCTGTCCTAATACGAGGTGTGTTCAATAAGTTTTGCGAAATTTTTTTTAAAGGTATTCTAGACGTCTCATCCCTGTAATCTTTTTATTCAAAGCTCACTGTATCCAATCCGGTTGTCTTCTTCCAGTGGACTTTATTCATCAAACTTTTTATTTTTATGTAATTCGCCTTCTCCCGGAGTTTAGATCCGTTGTCATAGCAATGGAATGTTTTTAAAACCAACCAGGGAATAAAGACACTTGAAATGCTCAATAGACAAAAATTCGTGCCTAAAACTTTTCGAATATAAAGCAGACATCTTTGACATGATCCAAAATACATTAGAGGATAATAATAATATGGTCAAGGCAACAGTCTACAAGTGGGCTAAAAGGGAAACAGTGTAATGAAGAGTGTTGGCAGAACGGGGAAATGTCTGAGCAGACAAAACCCATAAAAACCCCACAAACAGTTCACAAAATTGAAAATTTCTTACACCAAATTCGCAAGGCGTTGAGGACTTTTGATGAGTCTGACATCTGCTATGGGGCTGCAAACAAAGTTGTAAAGCAAGATTTGGAAAAATGGCAAAGATTTGGACATCATTTGCATTTACGAGGTTCTAGTAAATGATGCTAATTTGTTTGCTAAAATGTAGATTACAACTATAACTATTTATAGATATATAACAGTGAAAAAGCATATATATATATTTAAAGATGAAAGAATTCTTCTTAAATTTAAAGGATATGCGTAAATTGTAAGTGAGTGTGCTGGGGGTGGGTGTGTTCCCGTTATCTAGATATTATATATATACTGAGAGAAGTTTCACTAAATTGGTTTATGTAGTTCAAAGGTGGCTGATCACACATAAAACCCGAGACATTAAGATAGATAGAAAGATAGTCAGACAAATAGGGATTAGGGTAGAGGGAAAATTAAATATGTTAGAAAATAAAATTAAGAAACAGAATTATTTAGGAAACTAGCATCCTTCACACCCTTTTCACTGAACCCGTATAAAACCATTGATTAATAAATATATATCAAGATAGTTTGCAACTAATTTGAGTACTAAGGTAAAGAGATAGATAGATAACTAGATTTTAAATGTAATAAATACTAAGAAATAAAGCTAGTTTGTCTTTTGAATACTAAAATAAGTAGCTTGTAAAATACATAATTATAATAGAGAAGAGTGCTAGCTTGCTTGCAATTTTGAATACTAAGAAAAGTAGCTTGTAAATTACATAATTATAATTAATAGAGTTCTAGCGTGCTTGCAATTTTGAATACTAAGAAAATATTTCATAAAGATTTTATAACGATGAATGCAAACTTTATATTTTTACATTTGGGGATTTACAAGTAAATTTATATACTCTGTCTGAATCATAATTTTTAAACGTTGTTTTATAATATATAATTTTTTTGCTATTTAATATATGTATTCTATAAGACATGTCTAATCTAAGTATCTAGTATATATCTATCTAAGCTTAGTATCTAGTATCTATCGAAGTATCTATTATCTATCTATTTAAGTATCTATCTATCAAAGTATCTGGTATCTATCTAAGTATAAAGTATCTATCTAAGTATCAAGTATCTATCTAAGTATCAAGTATCTATCTATGTAATTATCTATCTAAGTTTCTATTATCTATCTAAGTATCTAGAATCTTTCTAAGTATCTATATATCTAAGTATCTAGTATCTATTTAAGTATCTATTATCTATCTATCTAAGTATCTAGTATCTATCTATCTAAGTATCTAGTATCTATCTATCTAAGTATCTAGTATCTATCTATCCTCCTGCTCCAAGTATAGTCTGCTAGTAGTGTACCCTCTACCGGTGTATAAACATGTAAAGCTTACAATATGATTTGTGATCTAGGTTAATCGAACTTGGAGCTGGAGAGACTTAATACTCTAGAGTCAAGACTTGTCTGGAAACTAACTTGACTAGAGCCTGGAAATTGAGCTGGCAGGAGAGCTGGAAGGAGAGTGAATGGCTCGAATATTTTGAGGGGGATATCCCTCATCTACGATGCAGGCAGTCGAGTTCTACTCAGGGACCTTCCTAACATGATCTTATACCTTCCTAACATGATTAAATACCTTCCTAACATGATTAAATATCTTCCTAATATGATCTTATGCCTTTCAAACGTGATTAAATACCTTCCTGATATGATCTTATGCCTTCCTAACAAGATTATATACCTTCCTAACATGATTTTTAACCTTCTTAATATGAGTTTAAACCTTCACACCCAACGTTATCTTATACCTTCCTAACATGATCTTTTACCTTCCTAACATGATCCTATACCTTCCTGACCTGAGCATATACCTTCCCACCCAACGTTATCTTATATCTTCTTAACAAGATTATATACCTTCCTAACATGATCCTATACCTTCCTGACCTGAGCACATACCTTCCCACCCAACGTTATCTTATATCTTCTTAACAAGATTATATACCTTCCTAACATGATCCTATACCTTCCTGACCTGAGCACATACCTTCCCACCCAACGTTATCTTATACCTTCCTAACATGATCTTGTAATGTTCTAACATAGTTTGTTAAGTGTAACATTATTTTACACTCTCATAACATAGTCTTGTATCTTCCTAACATAATCGTATACCTTCCTATCACATCTCTAAACCTGCTTAACATGATTAATGTTCAGTACATATTCTGTTACCTTCATATTTATATTTTCATAAGATAACATGATATATCTTCATAGCAGGATCTTTATACCTTCATAACATATTTAACAAAAAATATAAGAATATCTGTACATCATAATATTGAAATTGAATGTCACATTTTTCCTTTCTGATAAATTTTATGCCTTCCCAACACACTGTTATATTTTCCTCATGTTTTGAATATGACCAGGAGGCGTGGTTCGGCCACACCCACCACCAGACTCCGCCTACAAGTCATTAGGCTCAGTATTTGCTCCGAAAGACTCTCCACCAGGACGGGAGACAAAGAAGAAGCAAGCGTGCAGCGTGCAGGTCAATCCTGTTCAACCAACACCGGGATTTCAGGCAGTCAAATCATCCCGGTCAGTACAGAACATGGCTGAGCGGTCAATGTCAGTTTCTGAAAGCGAGCGTACCCGCGGGCTGTCAAGCAGGACACCGCACAGGACCGCAGGCTACGGGGGCGCTGGTCAGCCTAGTCGAGGACCACACAGGTACTTTTTCTTTAATTTAAAAAAAAGTTACGATGTATGATTTTTATATTTATAAATTATTAACAAACTACTATAAAATTAAAGCCAAATGTTTCAAACATACTTTTAACAAATGTCTTATGAGCGATGAATAGAAGAAATATGTTAAAAATTGTTTCAACTTTCAGCAAATGTTCTATGCAAATTTTCCTCGTTGCTATTTTTGTGAGATAAATGTGCGAAAAGCCAGTAACAAATCTGCAAACCTGTCAACTGAAAGTCTAAATTGCCGCAATAAAATTGGATTAATGATCGCAAAATAAGGTCTTTCTTGATTTTCACGGCAGAGTGCTAGGATGGGAAATGTTTATTTTCATTTTTTGAAATTCGTTAATAAATGTTTTATCAAGGATTAATGTATCTCCGAAAACAAAACAAAACATAACATACTATTTGGTTTTAGAATCGTAAAAATGTGCAAATTTTGTGTGAAGTAAAGCGACCTTATTATTTTTTAATAAATTTTTATTTTACCAAAAATAGTTGTCTTTCTCCATTCAACCATTCCATCCTACCGCTTTACTACCTTTGCTCCGATGTAACGGAGGTTTTAGTCGATACTTCATTCATTCATTCTCCTCCTGCATTCATTCATTAATATTATACTCCTCCACACCCTTCATTCATTCATTCATTCATTCATTCTTCTCCTGCATTCATTCATCAATATTATACTCCTCCACACCATCCTTTCATTCATTCATTCATTCATTCATTCATTCATTCTTCTCCTGCATTCATCTTTCAATATTATACTCATCCACACCATTCATTCATTCATTCATTAATATTATACTCCTCCACACCATTAAATAATATTATACTCCTTCACACCATTCATTCCTTTATTCATTCTCCTCCTTCATTCATTAATTAATATTATACTCAGCCATACCATTCATTCATTCATTCTCCTCCTTCATTCATTTATTAATATTATACTCATCCACACCATTCATTCATTCATTCGTCTCCTGCATTCAGTCATTAATATTATACTCCTCCAAACCTTCCTTTCTCCTCCTTCATTCATTCATTAATTAATATTATACTTCTCCAGACATCCTTTTCATTCATTTATATTTTAATATTATACTACTACTCTTAACCATTCATTCATTATTTCTTGAATCTGTTTTGTGTTTAGCTAAGTTTATTCTTTAACAATGAACTGTTTAGGTAAGAAGAGAAAATTTTAGTATTTTATCATAATTGGACATCTTTGGTGCGTCACACCTTATTTACATGCCATGTTTATTGTATATACGAGCATTACTTGTCACAAACATTGACATAGGTGCATATTTTTCTTCCTGCAGTTTTAATTTTAAGGATTTGAATTAAATTCTATCTTCAAATTGGCAAACATGACTTTTCTCTATCCTATCTACCCCCCCCATTTACCTTCCCCTTTTTTACATACCTCTACCCCTAGTCTCCACCCCTCCCCCTATACTCAAGGAATTCATTCATTTTCAAAATTCCTGGGATTTTGAGAATACTAGGACATGAAACTTGAAAACGTCGCAACATTAATTCAAGGGTATACAGGAGGTAGGGGGACCGGGGGGGGGGGGTAGATTTGTCCTTAAATTAAGAAAAATGGCAAAAGATAACTCTATCTATAAAATAAAAGTCTAATGTAAAAAAGAAAATAATGTCCTTAATTGCTACGAAGATAGTTTTTAAATTCCTATTTTTCTTACAAATCTATTATCTATATAACAAATTCATTATTTTCGGGATGGGGGGGGGGGCTGTGATAAAACATTTTAAAGTATTTTTCTAAAATCCTTAGCATTTTATATATTCCCCAGGATGTATATTATGCATGAATATTCAATATGTATTTTATTTAACTGAGCTGACAATTTTTGAATGGCCTTAACTAATTCAAATCGGTTAATATTAAACAAGTTTAAACTCTAAACATTTGATCATTAATGAGAGAATAAAAATTGACTTGACCTGATTTAACCTAATAATTAAGTCCCAACCCAACTGTTCAAAAGTTATAAGATTCTGTTAAAAATAAACATTAGCTGATATAATTTGAAAATGTTTACCCCTCTGTATAAAATAGAGGTGAATTTGAGTATAGAAAGGGGTTATAGCTGGAGTTTAAGGGGGAGGGGGCGTAGAACTGAGGGGAGGTGATAATTAAAAGTCGATCATTTCCGATTAGGAGAGTGGGAGGGTGCGTGGGGGGATTTATCCGACCGGAAGTGGTTAAATTCATCCCCGATCGTTCAGTTCTGACAACATGCGGAGGGGTTGGGGGTGATGGAAGGAAAATCTGATTTGTAATATCTAATTGTCTGTCTGCTAATCTGTCTGACTGTTTAAATATTTTTGCTGTCAAATCATTGATACAATGCTTAGTTCTTATTTCGAATCTTATCTTCTTATCTCAAGGTTTAATCATTCATTCATTCATTCATCCTTTCATCCCTCCTTACTTTCATTCATTTCACAGAAACCCTTCTTTCATTAATTCAACAAAATAGTCCATTTAGACTTAATCCTTAATAAAATGAATTGTTGACCCTGTTCCTTCCCCTTCATCTACTTGACAAATACATTGATCGCCTATATTTTGGGCAAGGTATGGTAATGCTAATTTAAAGTCTGAGCGCCGTGAAATGTTAAGCTAGGGAGCCAAGCGCTTGATGGTTTAAGATGTTGTATATGTTTAACTGTTCATGTTTGGTTAAGGGTGAAATGAGAGCATCTTGATGGTTTAAGATGTTGTATATGTTTAACTGTTCAGGTTTGGTTTGGGTGAAATGAGAGCATGTTGATGGTTTAAGATGTTGTATATGTTTAACTGTACAGGTTTGGTTAAGGGTGAAATGAGAGCATCTTGATGGTTTAAGATGTTGTATATATTTAACTGTTCCGGTTTGGTTTGGGTGAAATGAGAGCATCTTGATGTTCTCAGATGTTGTATATGTTAAACTGTTCAGGTTTGGTTTGGGTGACATGAGAGCATCTTACAGTGAACGCATTTCAAGCAGACAGAAAACTGGAAACAGGTAAAATTAGTATCAGAATTAAATATATACATTCATTTTAATATTCCCTTTCAGTTTTTTTAAATTTTATTTTTAGTTAGATTCTGAATTATCCTTGAATTAGATTCTGAATTATTCTTGAATTAGATTCTGAATTATTCTTGAATTAGATTCTGAATTATCCTTGAATTAGATTCTGAATTATTCTTGAATTAGATTTTGAATTATTCTTGAATTAACGAAAGACTTTTTTTAGTTGATTTATCCTGTGCACACTGTTCCAACATACAGATATTATCATTCAATATTTTATAATGGTTTTTTTTTCGCACTGTTTAGTACTGTTTTGTGCAGCAAAACTATTGTTTACTTATCGTAGGGAACTGCACTCAGATGTATATAAATCCAACTCCAGCCTAGACCTTGACCATGAAATAGATATGATGGTGAGTTATTTTATTATTATTATTATTATTAATATTATTGTTATTATTTTCACTATTTCTATTATTATTTTTATTATATTTTTATTTAAGTATCTATTATCTATCTATCTAAGTATCTAGTATCTATCNGTTATTATTTTCACTATTTCTATTATTATTTTTATTATTATTTGTTTGTAAACATAATTATGTTTCAGGATACTGCAGTACACGGGAAACGTGAGTTTGGAAGTCATGGTTCCCTTGAGGTTGCAGGTCGAGGTCTCCCGTCCTCCTTCCATCCTCCTACCGGCCTCCCGTCCTCCTTCCATCCTCCCCCCGTCCTCCCTGGTCCTGGTGAGGGTCCTGCAGCAGTTTCAACCCTCACCCGTCCAACACATTTCAACGGCCAGCTAAACAGATCTGAAGAATCGACCGGAAGTGTGGTTTCGACCGGAAGTTTAGATCAGGGTGACCAGGTGGACGGTGGGCAGAGTCCAAAGCAGAAGAAGAAAGGTAGTGGCGGGTTCTGGAATAAGGACAAGAGTAGTCGGAAAAGTCAGAAGTCAATATTTAAAAAGAAAAAGGAAAATGAATTGATTAAAAGTGATTTAAGCAGTGAGGACAATAAACTTGAAGATAAACATAGAAGAAGGTTCTTTTCTCATCATGATATAGGTAATTCATTCATTCTATCATCATGATATTGGGAGTTTATTTATTCTATCATGATATAGGTAATTCATTCATTCTATCACATCATGATATTGGGAGTTTATTTATTCTATCATGATATAGGTAATTCATTCATTCTATCACAGCATGATATTGGGAGTTTATTTATAATATCATGATATAGGTAATTCATTCATTCTGTCACATCATGATATTGGGAGTTCATTTATTCTATCATGATATAAATAATTCATTTATTGTTTCATCTTGATAGTGGTAGTTCATTTATTTCATAATCATGATGTAGGACAAATAGTTCAATTAGTCTCTTTTTATGATATAGGACGTTCATATATTCACTAATTTAATTATCAATTTATTCACCAATCACCATTCAAAACTCCTTTATTTTTTCACTATTTTTTTCACTATTTTTTTGTTATTTATTATTGTTCACATTACACTTAAAAGTAAGAAAAGCAAACTTGTATTGTTGCATTTAAAATTGTTGAAACTTTTTTCTTGTCAATAGCTCTTAAGAAACAAATTAAACTCATTAAGTTTTCAATCTAAATATGGTTTGTACTTATATAGTTCATTGATGAAAATCCTTAACATTGAAAATAAATAATAACGTAAATATATTTACACTAGGAAGCGTATGTGCCACACTTAGTGCTGGAGCTCGTCTTAAAACCTTGCAGCGGAGAAATACAACTACAGGTTAATATCCATATTTGGTCCGGGGGGGGGGGGGGGGGGGGGGGGGGTGAGGGGTAGCGTATATAGAGTTTAACCAGGTTTTGAAAAAAAAGGTTGCAAGTGCATAATTTGGCCCCCAGAAGTGCTTAGAACATAAAATGTTAACTTTCGGGTTTAAGAGTAAACATTTTAAAAGCAGAATTCCCCTCCTTCAATATACGCCCTTGGGGGAGTCCAATTTATAATTTGATATCACTTTTCACTTGTCAGGGGTGTATTAGAAAGAAAAAATTGTTTAGTGTTTTTAGAAAAAATCAGTGTTTTGCAATACAGAAATAAATACCCTAACAACTTTCTAAAATTCAAGAGAAAATAAAGAAAATTATTCTGAAAACAATCTTTTGATTCGACTCCTATCCTCGAATTACGAACCAATTCGGCACAGTCATCCGAAGGTTGTAAACTCTCGTGCAAAAATGGAGAAGAAATTAGCTTATTTCTTCTCAAAACAAATACTAAAAACAAGTTCTTCATTGGTCTTTAACGTACGTTCATGTCTAGGGCTACACAAAAGTCTTTGTAAGTTAGTGAGATAAAATCAAACTTTAAAGTCGACCCAGTCTTGAAAATTGGTTCAAATTTTTATAGCTGTCTGGATCCATGTGATGTATTCCTGTTTAATGTGGAGTCGTGGTACTGGATTACTGCTCATAAAGAAAAATTGCCAAGAATGCAGCTATGCATAGTTAGGCCTTTTTTAATGAAACATGCTTATTTCATAGTTCAGTTTGTAAATTTAATTTTTTATTATTTTACCTTAATTCTCCGTTTTAGTGTGTTTTAAATTACTATACAATGCACACAGGCCAAAAGTTGAGAGTTTTTAAAAATTTAATATTCGTGGCCCAGGAATTAGTTTCAAGACATAAATTTCTATTTTAGGTACCAAAACATCTTCAAATGAAAAAAACCATTATTTACAAACTGAAAAGTGATGAGGAAATCTTGAAAACATATTTTGATTTTTACTGTACCCTAATGCATATTGCATGTAATATGTATAATGTATATAGATTTAATACCGGATGAGGAATCACGTTATGACTATTCCTACCTCACGACTATTTTACTGATGTATATAAATCTCTGGACTCATGGTCCAACCATCTTTTATGAACCCTATATATATTTGCAGGTGCTAGTGCAGCAAGTAATGCTCTGCGTAACTCCGGAGGGTCCGGAGATAGTCCTGACTCCGAGGAGATGGATCCTGGAGACGGAGTTAGTAATCAACTTGTTCTCAGGTATTAATACAAATAGTTTATTCATCAATCATTAATTTCTATCATTTTGAAATCATATACGATGCCATCTTGATTTTAGTTGGTTAAATTTGATCAAAATCGTCCGTTTCGAAAGTTATAAAAATTGTCTTAAATCACACTTGTTTGGATCGTTGCATCTAATTCTATTTCTTTAAAAAAGACTAGAAACGATAGATTTATTCAAGTTTTGTTTCTGTCTTTGAAAATAAAGGTTGCTTGTTTTAGTACGTGGTTTTATATTATATATTTGGATATGATTACATGTTTTTATTTCTTTACTTCTTTTAGTTTTAGAACTTTTTAAAGCGATACCTTGAACTAATATCAACTATAAATCAATAATTGATCAACATGGATCATGCGTAGATTTACAACTGGACACCTTGAACTAATATCAACTATAAATCAATAATTGATCAGCATGGATGATGCGTAGAGTTAAAACTGGACACCTTGCAGGAAAAAGAGTAATTTTTTAATGTTGAGTTGCCCCTTTAATCTTTTGTTTTGTCTTTAACTGTGAAGCCCCTGTGCCTACTGATGCTGATGTATTCGTTGGTTGCCAATATTTGATGGATTTGAATAGGAAGCAACTTCAGGCCTTGTAGTCTAGTTGTTGAGAAATCTAGTTAAATACAAATCTAGAAATCTAGTTTAATGCATATTAAGAAATCTAGTTCAATACAGATCTAGAAATCTATTTGAATACAGATCTAGACATCTAGTTAAATACAGATCTAGTAATCTATTTAAATACAGATCTAGAAATCTATTTAAATGCAGATCTAGAAATCTAGTTAAATACAGATCTAGAAATCTAGTTAAATACAGATCTAGAATTCTATTTAAATGCAGATCTAGAAATCTATTTAAATGCAGATCTAGAAATCTAGTTAAATACAGATCAAGAGATCTAGTTGAATACGGTCATAGAAAACTAGTTCAATACAGATCTAGAAATCTAGTTAAATACTGATCTAGAAATCTATTTAAATGCAGATCTAGAAATCTAGTTAAATACAGATCAAGAAATCTAGTTAAATACGGTCATAGAAAACTAGTTCAATACAGATCTAGAAATCTAGTTAAATACTGATCTAGAAATCTAGTTGAATACAGATCTAGAATCTAGTTAAATACGTCATAGAAAACTAGTTGAATACAGATCTAGAAATCTAGTTAAATACTGATCTAGAAATTTAGTACTTTTCAATAAAATGTGTTCCCCGAAATTTTCAATTTATTATGATACAGTTGGGCTGATTTCGTAGTAACAATTCCCATGATCCCCCCCCCCCCTCTTCTCCTTACCAACATTTATTACATATGTAGCATATCCTAAGGCTGACTGATGAACAACCTATATCCTGAATGACTTTAGGTTTATTATTTACATGCAAGGGACGAGTATTATGAATTCTAATCTTTGTTACAAGGTTTATCTAACCTTAAATAATTCCGATCTGTATACAGATCCTAAATTTATAAAACTGTGGAATAGGAAGACGACTTTTAAGCTATATTTCTGATTTTGATTAGTCCCACGAACATGAAGCTAATAGATAGATAGATACTAGAAATATTATCTAGAAAGTAAGATTTCAGATTGGAATCTAGACAGAATATATTTACCAGATGTAATATTTAGATATTAATGCATAGATCTGAAATAGAATTTCCAGATAAATAGAGACATATAAACCAGAACCAATATTTAGATAACTATTGAGTTATCAGATAAAATATTCAGACAAATATTAGAAATTATATCCAGATGAATACTACCAGATATACCATCTGTAATATCCAGCTGTTAAATTGAACTAAAATGAGGTGTGTAGACTGTAGATGAGTATTAATAATTAATGCATAACTAATATCTACAAATTTGGAGGATATCTTCACATTTTATGCTTGAATAAAGCAAAATTAGGCCTTCAACGCCTTCAATATTGCCACTCCTCATCTTTTATTTTGTTTTTATCCACTTAGCTGGCAGCCACCTATTCCTTTGTATAAAGAGATAGCTCAAATATTTTTATTTTAGAACCTACCTACCTACCTACCTACCTACCTACCTACCTACCTACCTACCTACCTACCTACCTACCTACCTACCTACCTACCTACTTACCTACCTACCCATCTGCTAAATAAAGAATTTTATCAGCAATTACTAATTCTTTGATTACTGGTGTTTCCTGTGTACTCATCCTACACAGTCATCCAATGGTATTTGAACTCCAAACTGCACAAGTTACTCATTCAAAATAGAACTGCACATTATTTGCATCTTACTCATGTAAAAATGAACGATCCAGCATTTACATTGTTATGATTTTTTTAGAAGCACAGCATGAAACAACCAATATTTAAATCAAAATTAAAAAGATTAGGGAAAAATTATTAAATGAAGTATAAAATTTACCAAAATTAATACTTATGATTATTATTAAAAGATGTCATTTATGAATTTAATTTGTGGATGAAAAAAATTAAATAAAGGAGACTAATGATGAAGATTTTGTTCATTGATAATAAATGAATGAATACTTTGATGAATTAATTAATGAATGTTTAAGAACCCATCTGTAGTTGAAGTTTAACCCACAGCACGGACAAGGTTAAAATCTTGCTCGGCTTAATTATTCATTATCTATCTTCATAAACCTATGCACACATTAACCCCAGACATAGACAATAGACAATACACAAATAGATTAATAGACACTATAGACATAGACAATACACTTAAACAAATAGATCAATAGACATAAACCTATTCATAGACATTACAGTTAGACATACTCCAATAGATTAATAGACACTATAGACATTAACCGATTTATAGACAATACAGTTATACATACACAAATAGATTAGTAGACGCTATAGACATCAACCCATTCATAGAAATACAACAATAGATTTTCTAGACTCTATAGACATTAACCCATTCATAGACATACAATAGATTAATAGACACAATAGGCATCAACCCATTCAATAACATTACACATAAAGATATACCAATTCTCAAGTGTTATCATCTGGGTCTATGTGTACTGTTGTATGTTCATACCGGTTTGATTTTTCCTCATCTGTGTATCTATTGTTTTGCCAAACTTGTTGAAAAGAATGGATTGATCTTATAATTAAAACTATTATTAATTAGTTTGCGTCCGATCCGGATTAAAACAAAAATTTGTTTTCTTCTTAAAAATAATTTTGAATTTTTGTATTGTTTAATGCGTTTCTTGATTTTCTAGTATTTAAAACTTAGATTTTTATGATCTTACAGAATTTATAGTTCGCAACCCAATATCGTAGACTTGAGATATTTCAAATATAAATGATTAGAAAATCAGAGTTTGTGGCAAAAACTCAATTTCATTGAAGCTATGATTTCTTTGACTTGTATAAACTATATATCTGGATTAACCTTGACTAAATACCCCCAGTGGGAATGATATTGACTTGGATCGGTTTAGGATAGTTTACCTTTACATCATTCAAGATTGCTAACTAGAGGTTTCATGGATATAGGTTTCATTCATCTAACATTGGTTTCATTATTTACTTTTTGGCTTCTTAAAGTTCTCATTTCAAATCAGAATCTATTATTAATATCAACATGAAACATTTTATTTGTAAGTATATAAAATTGATTTTATGAACATCCTTTATTCCTGCAAATTTATAACTTTTTTGATTTATTTAGGTGTAATTTTATATTTTATAATCAAAAATTGATTAAAAGGTACTAATTAATACATTTGTTCAGTTGCCCGTATTTCCGAAATGAAATTGGAGGAGAACAAGAACGGCAAATTGCGTTGACAAGGTAAAACAAATAAATAATATTTTTTTTTATTTACTCGGACTCATATTTCTTGATCCTTTTCCTTCTGATCCTGATCCTAATTCTGATCGTTGTCGTGAATTCTGATAATAATCCAAATTCGGATACTGATCTCGATCCTGCTATTTTACTTAATCCTGCTCTTTTTAATCTGACCCTGATTCTTTTCTGCTCTAGATCATAATTCTTTTTTTTCCTTATCTAAATTCTAAACCTGATTCTGCCTTTTATCTTTTCCTGATCCTATATAGATCAATTCTTGCTCCTTTTCCTAATCCTAATCCTTATCCATATTCTTATTCAGTACTTTTTTAATTGGTTTTTCCGACTGTATTAACATAGCTTTAGCTTTGCACCTTTTCAAGGAAAAAGTGAACTCATACAAAAATAAAGGAAGCTTATATAACTAACTATATGTATGAAGGGAGACAGGAAGGAACTGGGGAGAGGAAGGGGCGGATCTAAGAGTTCCCTGCCACACCCCCAGGATGGCACGAGGCTTCTGTTTGCTTGAACAACCAAACACACACTGGAAGGAAGGATATCTAACCAAAATATTTATTTATTAATCATAATAATTGTTAAATGCGATCTTGCCGTAAATAAATAGTACTTATTGCTTAAATAAAGTCCTAGTGTTTCCCTAAATTTACTAGTTATTGAAAAGTCTAAATGTTTGTAACCAAGCAAAAATTACGAACTTTAATTATTCCAGCATTCCGATTATAATTTTATAAATACAAGAAAAATTCTAATCTCTAATCTAATGAAAATTTGAGTCTAAAATCTTAAATTTTTTTAATGATTTACTTGTAATTTCTTAAAGAAAACGTCCTTAATTATTTGGTTTTGATTAGAACGGAATATGCCCATACGCAACTGGATATGCAGTACCTACCCTTGAGAGAACTGACGCAGGATCTGCGTACTACAAAAACTACTTCTACGCCAAAGGTATGATCAGCTGGAAATAAAAATGAAATAATTCAATAATAAAATTATGTCGAATGTTTCTAAAAATTTTCGACGAAGAGCGGTGGTTAGCCTCTATCCCTCATCAGTCCTTGTGTTTTTGTTCTGGCATAAATGAGGGATGGTTAGTTCAGGTTTAATGAGTGATTATCTTTAACTGAGTGAATAGAGTGCCAGGGTTCCGGGTTCTTCAGTGAATATAGTGCCGGGGTTCCGGGTTCTTCAGTGAATAGAGTGCCGGGGTTCCGGGTTCTTCAGTGAATAGAGTGCCGGGGTTCCGGGTTCTTCAGTGAATAGAGTGCCGGGGTTCAGGGTTCTAAAGTGAATAGAGTGCCGGGGTTCCGGGTTCTAAAGTGAATAGAGTGCCGGGGTTCTGGGTTCTAAAGTGAATAGAGTGCCGGGGTTCCGCGTTCTAAAGTGAATAGAGTGCCGGGGTTCCGGGTTCTAAAGTGAATAGAGGGCCGGGGTTCCGGGTTCTAAAGTGAAATAATTTTACACTGACGCTTATTTTACATTATTAACTATCTAGTTAAAAAGTTGTTAATGATATTTACTTGAAACAAATACTTTAAGAGATTAAAATTTGAATAAATATTTTTTAAAGTAGAAAGACTAGAACTCCCTTCTGGGCAATGTTTGAGTGAAAAAAATTCTACAATGAAGAAATGGATTTAAGAAAATTTCCTTATTAAATCTTGTAAGATGCTATTTTGTATCTTGCTCCTTTGTTATTAAACAGTGCCATTATCTCTCAAACAACTAACAATCACGTGTTTCCTACATGTATGGGATGCTCTGTGCTATCTCCAGAATTTGCATAATGATGAATATTTTTGCAAATTGCAAAATGATTTGATTTTTCATAATAGACAAAAAATTAATATTTCTTTATTATATACACAAATTTACCGACGTATTCTAAATAAAGCATATGAAGTTGTAATCTCTGTTTGATTTTTGTGTGTCCGATCATAACTCAGAAACCCCTGGACCGATTTGCCTCAAATTTTGATTGAGGAACTTGGGAGACCAACGAGCATGTTCTTAGCTTGGTTTTGAGATTCTAAGTAAGTGGGTCAATAAATATCACACTAAATCCCAGAATAACAAAAATTAGAAAAATAATTATTTGCAGAGCACCAGAACTGGTTTGGCGGGGACGAGAATCTGGGACCAATCGCCATCTCAATTCGAAGGGAACGGGTGCCCCTAGAAGAAGGACGAATAATGTCTCAAAACCTAGAACAGTACATGTACCGGCTGATAGTCCGGACGAGTGAACTGCTCCCCCTACGAGGGACGGTTTTGGAGGATTCTATTCCTGCTCTCAAGTCGGAGAAAGTGAAAACTATTCCAACCAGAGAGGTTTTAGAGTTCTCATTTCCAGAGCTTCAACTCTCCAGGTATGCAATTCAACTTTAAGGTTCTTGTTTTGTTTCTTCTAGTTCCTTGAAGTTCTAAACTAGGTAGAACCAAGGTGTATTAAATTGACTTGAACTTTGTCTTGTTTTGATCTTGTTTTTCGACTGGATGGTTTTTATTCATCAAATTAGGTTTGGCAGAATTTCATGCTTTTCAGCTAAATCTCCTGAAAGTGATAAAAATTTAAACAAAAAAGTGAAGGTTGGTTTCTGGTTTTACTCTTAGTAAATGAATTGTTATTTACTCTTGATCCCAGTACTATGAACCGGTATTTTTAAAGATTTCTATTGGTAATGGTATCCTGGTTTTTATTGCATTCTTGGATTAAACAATTTGTATTTCTGGTTCTATAGGTAATCCAGGTATTTTTGGTTCTCTGGTTCTATAGGTAATCCCGGTATTTTTGGTTCTCTGGTTCTTTGTACTCCAGGTTTTTTTGGTTCACTGGTTCTTTGGACTCCAAGTATGTATCTTTCAACTCTCTGATTCTCCGGGTACTTTGTTTTTAGGGTACTCCAAATAGATTATCAAGTACAATAGGTGGCAACAGAGAAATGGACCAATTATACACGACTCACAAGTGTCAAACATAAGGAAAACGAAATTTTCTCACATTAGTTGGCATTTTTTCCAAGTTTAAATAAAAAGATGTAAAAACAGAAAACAAAGAACACATAAAATTGCACTTATTTCACTGAAAGATAAACACTTAGTCTAAAATTAACACTTAGTCTAAAATTATCACTATTATTAATAATTTTTTCGGACACAAAAACTGAGTTGACACTTGTGACGTAAGAATACAGCTGTACTGCTGAGAGTACAAATTCTACGTTGCCATCTATTGTGCTTGACAATCTATTTGGGGTATTGCAGTCTCCGCTGGTTTTTTAACTCCTCCTGAAGATATTTGAATTATAACTTATGATTTATTAACACAACTCCTGATTTCAATCAAGTTTCATAGTTTGTAAAAATGCAAGGTTAGGAGGGTAGTCAGGGGCAGGGGGGGGGGGGACGACGTAGTTTAAGTGACACAAAGATTGCAGGATGTAACATCCTATCTGGAAAGGAATGTTTACACCTCCTGATATATTTATTTGTTTGCAGAATATCCCCTGCTCCAGGTTTTTACTCCATATTAACATCAATATCCTCTTCCTTAATGTCTTTAACCTTCACCTCATCTATCCCACAATTCCTTTCTTTTAAATTCATTTTTCATTCGACTTATTTTTCATTTAATTTTGTCAGACATTTTTTTAAAGCTAAGTATTCTTGAAAATAATCCCCACTCCCCACTCGAAAAATCGAATTTGGGAATAGTTTCAAGGGGAAAAGAATGTAAGGAATTGAGTCTTTGCTACAAACTGTAAATCCTAAAACCCTATATCTTTGCAGCCTGATTTTGTAAACATTTGATATATTTCAAACTTTGATTATTTGATTTAACAGAATTAATAGCTTTAAATATCTAAGGTTTTCGACATTGGGTTGCAAAGATATAGGGATTAGAAAATCCTCCTGGGATGAAGTATCAATATGAGTAAAATTTGAATTGACCATGCATAAAAAAATGGCACGTCCGATTTACAAAGGTTCCATATTTAAACCTCTGATCGAGTGTCAAGGAGAAAGATTGCATCGTTTAAATATCTTTAAAAGCGTTAAATTTATCAAGTTCCTTTACTGTTAAGTCAATATTACAGGAAAACCACGAATGTAATCAATTTTAGTAAGATCCTTCATGAGGGAATGATTGAAAGGATACCGCAGTGAATCGAATATTCTAATCTTAAAATGGAGGAATGCGTTAATTGACGTTTTTACTCTACAGTCTCTTGAAGAACTTGAAAGTAAAGGGTTGCACTGACTACTGGCAAATTTCAAATTCGAATGGTAGAAAGATTTTTATTCATGAAATGATAACCTTGAATAATTTATACTTATTAGACAACTATTATTTTAATAATAAAAAGCAATTTTTCTGGAATTTATCTTACAAAAATTTAAAAGTACAGGATTTGTTATTTTCTTAAATCTGTTTTAAATCTTGATAAGTTTTATTAAAATTCTCAAACAAAAAAACTCACTTAATTAAATGCATATCAAAAGCCCTAATTTATAATTTTATCAATTTTAACTTTAATTTGTACTCTTAAGACTAGCACATAATCCCCCCCCCCCCCTCCATACCTCCTTGAGATACCCCTTTACATTTCGTCTCATGAATTCGTCCTGGTTTAGATATAAATTCTAATTCTCCTCCCTCCTTCTCCCTCTTGTATAAGTCCAAACAAGATTAAATCAAAATAGGAAGGATTTAAAGTGAGCAGTGGAACGGATTTATAAGGAGCAAAAACTTCGCAGTGAGCCAAACATTTGTGCTTTATGAAGCAAAAACAATGAGCATTTGATTTGATCATCAGATTTTGTTCAAAAAGGGATCTAAGTTAATCTTAAAGTAGCTTATGATTTAAAAAAAGGGTTTACTAATAGTGATCATACGAATTTATACGTATATTTGGAGTTAAATGCTTTGAAGTTTGAAGTTTTAAATTTACTGGAATCAGTGAACCATAAAGGGATTTAAAAATAACATTTTACCATGATATCAAGGGCAGGATGGATTTAAGCTGTAAAACCTTAGAAAAACGAATCAAAAATGCAAATAGAGAGGTGAAAATATGTACAAGATAAAGAAAAATATGGGAACGAACATGAGAGAAGAGAAGAACGAAGATAACGAAGATAAAATTAAAAGAGAGAAGGATAGAAGATAAGAGGTTGAACTGGAAACAAATCAGGAAGGAAGTTAAACAAGGAAATGATGCAAAGAACAAGGAAGATTGCAATTTTAATCAAGATACTGGGGAGGATGCAATGTTCAATCTGTTTTTGTTTCCAGCTGGTAGTAAATCTCAGAATATATAGAGTTGAATTAAAAGAAACTTGGTCTAAATATATATTATGATAATTCTTTTTCAAAATACAAAGACCAAGGTGGAAGTCTCAATCAATGGTACAAAGTCATGCTGTATTTACTTTTTATTAATGTATTACCTAAAACATGTTTTTTTTGTTGGTTCATTGTCAAGATTAAAAAAACATTATTTTAAACAGAATTTGTTGGAAGACGTAGTTAAAAGTAAAGCGACTTAAATCCCTTAACTCTTGCGCGAGGGAAGTAAAAACTGTACAATATTTTTTTACCTGCACCATAATAAGTTAACACACTCTGTAGATCGGTTTTCTCTAATCCAGTTTCCGAAGCAGTAAAAACAAAAGAATTTCTGACGAGACATAAATAGGTTTTTGATGATTAAGCTCCGACCTGAAAACTTTATAGACTCAACACTATTTAAATATTTTGTCTAAATTAAACTTTTAAAAAACATGAATAAAATCATGTTTCTTTGAAAAATTTATTTTGTTAATTGATGAAATAATGAATGATCCTCGTAAAGATATTAATTTACAGTTAGTTTGAAAAAACATTAAATTAAGATTGAAACTGTGATGTTATTATCCAAACCTCATAGAGTGAAAGTAGATGTTATTTCGGTCTGGTTTGACCCTCTCTTTACTCTGTTCTTGATATTTGTTTCCATCATGAAGATTTGACACTGACAGTGATACATATGTAAATCAGAAGAACTATGTATATGTTGGAATTTATGCCCCAGTTCAGAATAAGGTTTAACTATTGGTAAAATCTAAGAAGTGATGTAGAAGTAATTGAATTCTACGATCTTTTTGAGTCTCTTCACTCATCAGTAATAAGACAGTAATTAAACCAGCCATTCAGAGTTTGACTACTTGTTATTTCATAAGTTTTAATTAAACTATTTGTACCATTCCTTAGAAATAACTTAGTTTTTATTGTAAATGGCAATGTTTTTGTACTTTGAACTGCATACTTCTTTGTATAAAAATGTAACAATATTTTTAAATAAAGTTTCTGTTGTGTTGACTTTGATAACTGTGTTAAAGAGCGTAAACTTAACACTTCAAGTTTTCAATATCATTTTCATTAAGTCAAATAATGAAGGAAAGAATTCAAGGACAAATACATGATTTTCTGGAAAATAAATAAAAGAATAAATAAATGAATGAATGCGTGAAAGATTGAGAAGATGCAAGGATGAATGAATAAATGATAGAATCAAAGGATGAAAAGATGCAAGGATGAATAAATAAATGATAGAATCAAAGGTTGAATAGGTGCAAGGATGAATGAATTAATGATACCCTCAAAGGTTGAAAGACTAAGACGATTGATGAATGAATAAATGAATGAATGAATGAATGAATGAATAAATAAATATGTAAATATATAATTAAATTAACTATGAACTATAAGATTTATATTTTAGTTTACATCTTGGTGTGCAGTCTGGTCCTTGTGAGGAACAGCTGGTTAAATTAGATCAGTTATATAATGATAAAACTTACAAGGTAAACATACATTAGCTCTACATCATGTAATGTACTGCAACCTGATTGTTAATGTTTAGGTTATGTTTAGGATTGCGTAATGTACTGATCCTGATTATTTTTATACGGGTAGGTGTAATGTACTGCACCCCTGATTGTTTACGTTTAGGTTGGTGTAATGTACTGTATCTTGATTATTTATTTTTAGGTTGGTGTAATGTACTGCACCCTGATTGTTTATGTTTAGGTTGGTGTAATGTACTACACTGATTGTTTATGTTTAGGTTGGTGTAATGTACTGAACCTTGATTATTTATTTTTAGGTTGGTGTAATGTACTGCACCCTGATTGTTTATGTTTAGGTTGGTGTAATGTACTACACTGATTGTTCATGTTTAGGTTGGTGTAATGTACTGCAACCTGATTGTTTATGTTTAGGTTGGTGTAATGTACTGCAACCTAATTGTTTATGTTTAGGTTGGTGTAATGTATGTACTGCACCCTGATTTTTATGTTTAGGCTGGTGTAATGTACTGCAACCCGATTGTTTATGTTTAGGTTGGTGTAATGTACTGCAGAGCTAGCCAGCAGACGGAGGAGGAGATGTATAACAACGAAGAGGGTGGTCCGGCCTTCAACGAGTTCCTAGACCTTATAGGACAGAGAATCAGACTCAAGGGGTTCAATAAGTACAAAGCAGGACTATGCAATAAGAGTAAGTAATTAAGTTAATAAACCAAGATTGAAGTCAGAATTCGCCACTTTTATCATTAAAGAGGGAAAATTGATGTTTATTGCAATGAATGAGATAAGGAAGGCCAACCACATAATTTATGTATCCGAGCCACTTCAAATACTCATCTTCATAATTCTCGCGTTTAAACTTGTCTTTTATCTTTACGATTGAAAGGAATCTCATCTAAAATGTTGAAATTAGAAATTTAGAAAAGATATCACTTAAAAAAATAAAGTTTTCGTCAATTGAAGGTGAAGTGGAGAAATTAAAGAAATGCGGTTCGGATGCAGAAATTATGTGGTTAACCTCCCTCCCTCACTTGACATGTGTCCTTTGTTTATTTTGAGGGGGGGGGGGATGACCTTAATTAAGAATAGGAAGGATGAGGGTTCAACCTGATCGTAAAAATCTAAATGATTAAGTATTATTTGTGGTGGATTAACCAATATCCATCTTCCGTTCCGTTTGGATTGATTTCAGCTAAAGGATCAGCTGCCAAATAATCAACCAACTAAATCCAAACTGACTTTATTAGACAGCTGAAATATTTGATTAAGGGATTGTGCAAATATTTGAAGAAAGCCCGATTATTTTGGATTTTATAATCAGGTCCATCTTACAATAAGAGAATATCTTTCAAAACATGACATCAAAAAATGCAAACACGTGACAACCATTCCAGCTGCTGTTAATACTCATTTTTTTACCATGAAACGACAAGTATAATAGATTCCATGTTGTGCCATGGTAATATATGTTTTTAAACGCCAGCCTGTCAGATTTAGGTTGAAAAGTGGATGATGACGAGGAACGATATTGAACTTTACAGAACAGTCAGATCTTTGAAAACATATGACATTACTGGAAATTTAGAACGCTTCGTGGCACCGTTGTTTTTGGGATGAACTGAAAATTACAAATTTTTGTAACTTTCTAAAACGTTAAGACAGTACGCTAAAGAACACAAAACATACATGAATATATTTTTATTCATTGATCTTCAATACCAAACTATTTAGATGATTCTACGGGTGAGTACAGTGTTTACACCGAGCATGAGGAACGGGAAATAATGTTTCATGTTTCTACCCTTCTTCCATATACTCATAATAATAGGTAAACTTATAGTAAACATTTCATCAAAAGGAAATATGTTTTAAAAATTTCTTAATTTAAACCAAACAATTCTCAAATAGTAAACAATTTATAAAACAAATATGTCAGATACTACAGTGATAATCAGAAAGTTGTGGAATAGGAAGACGACATTTAAGCTATAATTAAGTGTATTTTATGGTGTTACAAAGCAAATAATTATGCTGGTAACTTGCTAAATCACTTTTTAAGTGAATTTGATCTGTCAACATTGCACAGTGCGTCTCATGTTTCATTGCCTATTTAACTTGGGTCTCAAAGTCATCTTCCCATTCCAGAGTGTTATGATTATTACTGTATAAATACTAAATACAGATTTAGAGACATTTCTACCCGATATTAAAACTAAGCTTAAGCAATAAACCGGATATTAATGCAAAAGGCAGATATATGTAAGTGTTGATATAAAAAGATAAAATAACTAAATGAAAAATATCTAGGTTACAATAAACTTCATCAAAGTTAAAGGGGGGGGGTATTTAGATTAAACTTCCTTAGGAAATGAAACGATATTTTGCAAGCAACCCCCCTCCCCCACTTTTCTTTTAAATCTAATTTATCCAGGGTTAAAGGGTTAAACTAAAAAAATGAATGAATTAACCTTGTATTTAGACAACAGCTGCCGAGAAAACGACACATTGGAAACGATATTGTCACTGTAGTCTTTCAAGTAAGATATTTTTATTATAAAAAAATCGCTGGTTCCTCACACAGAATTATTCTATTAATATAAATCTAATTTATCTTTGCAACCCAACGGCATGGACCTTATTTATTTTTAAATATGAATTCTGTTGGATGAAATAATCTAAGTTTAGAATATAAAAGGTTTACACCATCACATTGCACAAATATAGAGATCAGAAAATGTTGAAAGATTTTTTAAGACAAGTAATATCTTTCTATCTATCTATCTAGAATCGAACTATCTGAACCCCTTCTTACGCTAGTACCTATCGGATATTATAAATCACAAAATGTGTTTCTGTATTTGCGTACACTGCCTGGAATTTTTAGGTTTCTGTGTGTGTATTTTGATATTTTGTATATTGTTTACTGTTTTTTAGTGTATACTGTTTGTCTGTGTATTGTATATTGTTTGTCTGTTTATTGTATACTGTTTGTCTGTGTATTGTATACTGTTTGTCTGTGTATTGTTTACTGTTTGTCTGTGTATTGTATCTTGTTTGTCTGTGTATTGTATACTGTTTGTCTGTGTATTGTATACTGTTTGTCTGTGTATTGTATATTGTTTGTCTGTGTATTGTATACTGTTGTCTGTGTATTGTATACTGTTTGTCTGTGTATTGTATATTGTTTGTCTGTGTATTGTATACTGTTGTCTAAGTATTGTATACTGTTTGTCTGTGTATTGTATATTGTTTGTCTGTGTATTGTATACTGTTGTCTGAGTATTGTATACTGTTGTCTGTGTATAGTGTATATACTGTTGTCTGTATTGTATACTGTTTGTCTGTGTATTGTATATTGTTTGTCTGTGTATAGTATATTGATTGTCTGTGTATAGTATACTGTTGTCTGTGTATAGTATACTGTTGTCTGTGTATTGTTTACTGCTTGTCTGTGTATAGTATAATGTTGTCTGTGTATAGTATACTGTTGTCTGTGTATAGTATACTGTTGTCTGTGTATAGTATACTGTTGTCTATGTATTGTTTACTGTTTGTCTGTGTATAGTATACTGTTGTGTGTGTGTAGTTTACTGTTGTCTGTGTATTGTATATTGTTTGTCTGTGTATTGTATACTGTTTGTCTGTGTATAGAATATTGTTTGTCTGTGTTTTGTATACTGTTGGCTGTTTATAGTGTATATACTGTTTTCTGTGTATTGAATACTGTTTGTCTGTTTATTGTGTTTATACTGTTTTCTGTGTATTGAATACTGTTTGTCTGTTTATTGTATATTGTTGTTTGTCTGTTTATTGTATATTGTTTGTCTGTGTATAGTATACTGTTGTCTTTGTATTGTATATTGTTTGTCTGTTTATTGTATACTGTTTGTCTGTGTATTGTATACTGTTTGTCTGTGTATTGTATACTGTTGTCTGTGTATTGTATACTGTTTGTCTGTGTATTGTATACTGTTTGTCTGTGTATTGTATACTGTTTGTCTGTATTGTATTGTATATACTGTTTGTCTGTGTATTGTATCTTGTTTGTCTGTGTATTGTATACTGTTTGTCTGTGTATTGTATACTGTTTGTCTGTTTATAGTTTACTGTTTGTCAGTGTATTTTAAACCTTCTGCTTTGTCCTTCAGACCGGCAAGAAACTCTGAAATGTCCTGTTTAATAACTCGTGATTATGTTATGAATTGTTTTTCGGGGTTATTTACTTTTTGCTTAAAAAGAGGAACGATTTAGAAGAGGGCGGTGGTGGACAAGGGGGATTGCTTATTATACTTTTTAATTGTATAATTATTTTCTTTTTCCTCTTTCTCCATTTCCTCTTTATCTCTATACATCGCAAATTTACAATTCCAAATTTTTCAAAAATATTGCTGTTGATATAAATACCATATCTTCCTAGCATTCAATAATTGTTCCTTATTTCTATTATTAGTATTTATAGTTGTTTCTTGTTCCTTATTCTTTTCTTAGTATTTTTAGTTCTTTCTTGTTTCCTATTCATTCCTCAGTATTTCTAATTGTTCCTTGTTCAATAAGTTCATTATGCAGTATTAATATTGGTTTCTTGTTACTTATTTTTTCTAATTATGTATAATTGTTATTGTTCCTTAGGTATTTCTTAGTATTTACGATGGTTCCTTTTTTCTTATTCAATCCTTGGTATTTATAATTGCTCCTTGTTCCTTATTATTTTCTCAGTTTTTATAATTGTTCCTTGTTCCTCATTCATTCCACAGTTTTTATAATTATTCCTTGTTCCTTATTCATTCCTCAGTATTCATAACTATTCCTTGTTCCTTATTTTTCCTCGTTTTTATAATTGTTTCTTGATGTTCTTTATTCATTTCCTTAGCATTTATAATGGTTCCTTATTCCTTTAATCCTCAGTGCCTATAATTGTTCCTTGTCCTTTTTCATTCCTTGGTATTTATGAATTGTTTCTTTTTCCTTTTTTTCTGCCTTAGTATTTCTTATTGTTCCTTGTTTCTTATGGAAAATTTATATTTGTTTCTTGTTCCTTATTCTTTACTAAGTATTTATATTTGTTTTTTGTTCTTTATTCCTTACTATTTATGATGGTTCCTTATTTTTCCTCAGCATTTATAGATGTTTCTTGGTGTTCCTTGTTCATTCCGTCGTATTTTAGTTGTTCCTTGGTCCTTATTACTTATTCAGTATTTATAATTGTTCCTAGTTCCTTATTCATTTCTTAATTTTTATAATTGTTCCTTATTCCTTTCTCAGTATTTAGTTTCTTCTTCGTTGTTCAAAAAATATTTATTTTAGGAACCGGGCGCGCTTCCCTTCATACCCAACATCCGGTCACAGTTTCAGCACGTGTTCATCATTGTGCGCGCACATAATCCTTGTACAGATAATACTCAATACAGGTACTTATTTATACAGCTGAATATAGGTACATAATCCTTGTACAGATAATACTCAATACAGGTACTTACTTGTACAGCTAAATACAGGTACATAATCCTTGTACAGATGATACTCAATATAGGTACATATAATCCTTGTACAGATAATGCTCAATACAGGTACATAATCATTGTACAGATAATACTAAATACAGGTACATAACCCAATTGTACAAATAATACTCACTGTACAGTCACACAAAAAACTTTGGATTCCAAAAACTAACAATAAAATATATGTAGGAATGGTGTGAACAATTTTTAACGGCTTGAGATAAATTTTGTTATACCCTTATCGATATATTTCTGAAAAAAGAATTATCTGAATAAAGTGTATTTTTTAATTATGTTTTTCTTAGGGGGGCTTTAAGCCTAATTCCAATTGACCCTTTAATTCTATGCAAAGATGGTAATAACAATGCCCGATCTACCCTTGAAACCTTAATCTGATCAAAAAAGTGGAAGAAAACCTCGTTTTTCTGACTGTTTAATTTCTCCAGCCTTTCTTTTACTCAAGAAATGCGGAGAAACTACATGTGATATTAAACAGTTTTAAACAAAAACATTTAGTTTTAATTCATATTTGATCATTACCATCCTGGAGTGGAGGGTCGGTTGAAATAAAGCATACAGTCACCTTTATAAAGTTATGGCTGTATGCCTGGGTTGTACTGCAAGCACCTGGTAAATAATTTTGCGTGCCTGAAATTGTAAAAATAAATGCACATTTAAGACAATTAGTTGAATTCTCATGCACTGCATTTGTTTCATGTTCCCGCTGTATTTGCATAAAAATCGGTAAACAGTAAATATAATTTGCTAATCACTTGTTTTGACTGAGTTATCTTATCATTTCTATTTGGTTCTAAGAAACTGTCTCGAAGCCATTCAAGATTCCGTAGAGTGTAATTTTACCAAGCTTAGCTCAGCATTTATGCAACTACTACGCAGTTATTATACTAGTTAACCATTCATCTTTTATTTCATGATTCATGGGATTTTTACAAACAGATTATGAAACGTTTGATTTTTATCAGAAGAATTTCTAGTTTGAATTATGAAAGGCCTACGACACCAGGTTGCAAAGATTAAGATTTGAGATTCCTTTTTAATAGCTTTTCTTACTTTTAAAAAAGTCATTTTCATTCTGACAAATTCATGACAGAGAAAAAAAAATGGTAAACCAAACGGAAAATTAAGCAATCTTCCATTTTAAATTCAAGTTCTATTTTGTTTGTTATTTTTAGTGTTGCTGTGACCCGGTCCGCCAATGTTCCAATGTTTGGTCCTCCTTTACCCCCTGGAGCTCTCTTCAGTAAAAACTCAAGTTTTACAAAGTTCCTTCTCTCTAAAATTATTAATGCAGAGAATGCAGTTCACAGGTAATGTTTAAACAAATTCACGTAAAAAAGATAAAAATACAGGGATTTTTACAAGAATTAAAGGGAGTGACCGGCTATGTAAGGTAGTTGAACTAAGTATGCAGTGTTGTGGAACACAACTTTAGGATTCATTTGAGACATATAAAACTTTTTAAAGATCTGTAAATCCTGAGTTTAAGCGCAAATTCGACGTTCAAAACTCCTACTTTGGGGGTGGATACGTTTTCAGAATTGGTTTTTTTTAAATTACTAAATAACGACAACGAAAAATAAAGTAAAAATCATACAGTAAACTAATTAGATGGTTAGGAACATATTTCTCAAAAGAAATTTGTCAATAAATCAATGCTAGAATCAATTATTTCGTTTTCATCAATATATTGAATTACTTATTTTCTTTGAATTTATTCGCAGATTTCTTCAAATTCTTCAAATGTCGTCTTTTCAATAATAGTTCCAGAAAATCTGCAGAAAATCTTTGTGAATAATGAGAAAATAGAAACTAATAATTGAACAAGATTACTTATTTTCGATGATAAGATTAATTTTTATTTTCTCAACCGGTATTAAAGTTATGCAATTACGTTTAAAAAATAAGTTGTTGGTGAGAGATATTCCTACAAAGTCATAAAATATTTTTCAATTATAGAAAAGATGACATTCTCTGGCTTCTTAATAAAACCAATTAAGGTGTCTGGTTTTGCGTACAAATCCCAATGCCTCCTATTTTTATTACCAATGTAAAAATATGAACTTAAAACAATTAAATATTGAATTGAATTTTAGGAGTGACAAGTTTGTGTCTATGGCGACTAGAACTCGACAAGAATACCTCAAAGATCTGTCGACAAACTTTGTGACGCCGACCACTATCGACTCAGGAAATAAATTTGGTAAGTTTATTAAAATGTTCTTGGGAGTTGCTTTATTTTTACAGGCTTGGGAACCCATCTGTGCCTTGAAACTAAGTCTTCTAAAGTCAACTCACTAAATTTAGAATTTACAAACCAACCTAAGAACATATCATGTTTCTACCGGTTCCCAAATCAAAATTTGAGACAAATCGGTCAAGTAGTTATTATTGAATATTCATACAGACACACATTTATTACTACGTAGTAGATTTAGATTCCAAATTAAGAAAATAATTTCCTCTTTTAGCATTGTTTGCGCCTAAGAAGAAGATGAGCGCAAGGCCCCGGTTTAGTCCTGACGCTAGCCTGCGGGGCGCACTCAGCTGGGCCGTGGTCGTCGAGGACTGTTCAACAAATCAGCAGCTCGAGGCTTTCGTTGCAATCTCCAGCGATACCTTGGTCATTATTCAGGACAATCCACATAGAGATCTTTTATTCATCACAGCCTGCAAGTAGGTTTAATACGGGGCAACAAGTGGGAATTAGTATTTTTATTATAATCAGTGCTTACGATCCGGATCCTTTGGATCCGCAAGATTTTGGCTTTCTGGACCCGGATTCGCAAAAATATGCGGATCCATGGATCCGGATCCAAGGGAAAAAATATCAATCAAAAACTTTTTAAAAAACTTTCTCTCAAAACCTAAATCTGAACTATTGAAAAAAGAGAGATTATAAAAATTTCCTGATTTCTGAAGAATGGTTCATCAAGTTTTATCATAAAGATAAGCAAAATAAATAAGACGATAAATTCATAAATTCTGCTTTGTTAAAAAAAATCATTAAATCTTTTAGAAATGGCCTGGATCCGATTATTGTTATTGTTGTTGTTGTTGTTGTTGTTGTTGTTGTTGTTGTTGTTGTTGTTGTTGTTGTTATTGTTATTATTATTTTTTAGATCTATACTTGGCTGGTCAGCTACTCATAATTCCATCAGAATATTCTATCATCAGGTTAGCTAAGAAACTCTGAATTAATTTTGTCTAAACCTAAACTAGGAGGCTGAAAAAAGTAAAAGAAGCTGTTATTGTATCATTTTTCATCCTAATATGTATTCACCTAAAACATAATAAGTTTAAACTCATCCCTAAAGAGATGAAACTTTTGTCGGTAAAATCTATTCATTTTTGAGCTTATCAGCAATATCTTTTTTTAGGGCGAATGTGTTATAATTCACTCTAAAGACTGGGAGGCGGATGATATGGCGGAGATCTCCGCCCGTCTAAAGTCTGTGAGCCCAGGTGCGGCGAGCCAAGAGTTCTCTCTACGGCGGAATCAACTGGGTCAGCTTGGATTCCATGTACAACACGACGGGTTGATAACAGAGGTGGAGAACTTCGGCTACGCCTGGCAGACAGGGCTACGCCAGGGCAGCAGGTTAGTACAGTACACAATATCTACAGAGGCTGTATAGTGTATAGTGTATAATGTAGACGTATTTTTTAAAGTCACTCCATTTGTAGAGGGGCATGTGCGGTTCCAACGGTACCAATAAAAGTGTTTATTGATTATTTTCAATTAAGGAAATTTTGTTTTTAAACCACAAGACATTTTTATTTATTAAATTCTCAATTAATTATATCTGTTTTAAGTTCAAAACCTAATGATCAAGTAGGTTGACATTGTTTTGGTTCTCGTCTAGTACACTTGAATGTTTGATATATTTAAATGTATATTTCTCTAGGCTTGTTGAGATCTGCAAACACCCTGTGACGACGTTGACCCACGAGCAGATGGTTGACCTGCTCAAGACGAGCATGATGGTGACCGTGACCGTTATTCCGCCTCACCCCGACGGTTCCCCACGGCAGGGTTGTAATCTCACCAACTGCAGTTATGCTTTCGGAGGGTTCGAGGGAGATTATGAGAACGTGAACGGAGAAGGAGAGAAGACAAGTCTGAAACCAGGATCAATGCAGGTTCAGATTTTTCACTTGTAATGAATATTTTTAAGGTGTAATAAATGTATGGGGAGGAGATTAAGATTTCTGTACGTTTTACTGTGACATATTATGATTAGAAGCGAATTAAATGGGGAAAAAATTAAAAAGAAATTGAGTTTTTGCCACAAACTCTGGTTTTCTAATACCAATTCCAATACCATAGATAATTCAAACTTTGAATTCTGTTAGATCAAATAATCTAAGATAGGAATATCAATTGTTTACACTATCAGGTTGCAAAGATATAGGAATGAGAAATTTGAGTTTGTGGCAAAGACTCAATTCCTTTGTCAACAATCCGTTTCGTTATTTGGTCACAATCCCAATCTTTGTTACTGTCTAAGTGTGCGCATATCCTCCCCACCCCCCAACTTTACAGGCACTTTATCTTGAATATTTACTGGTCGTGGTTTGTGAAGATGGGGGATTATAAATATCAGGACAAATTACGGTGTTAAACCCATCTTCTTAAGTGTTAAAATTGGATTGAAGTCATGGTAAGGGAAGATAGGTCAGGGGATGGCAAACCAAGCTAGTCCAGGCTTCCTGGTTAGGTTATTTGAAAATAAAACTCCTTTTTTGTCAAAGAATTAGATTTGATGACACGATGAATTGTTGGATGTTTACCACAGCAGTTGTTCCCAAATAGCCAAACATTAAAATGAGAAAATTTCCTAGATTTACCCATTTTTTTATTTTGAAGTTTTTTGTTTTTGTATTTAAAACAACTTATTTTCAAATTAAAATACAAGTTTTTAACATGTTTATATATTTACTCTATATTTTATTCAGGCCCCGTCTAATGGTAAGATGAGATATGAACGATCCCTCTCCCCTCCACGATCCAGTTCAAGCTCAGGATACGGGACAGGATCCAGTAGCAAGTCCTTCACGGATCCTCCTGATCCTAGATACACAGGTTAGTTTATAGATCCTACAGATTCTAGATACACAGGTTAATTCATAGTTCTTCCTGATCCTAGATACACAGGTTAGTTTATAGATTCTACAGATTTAAGATACACAGATTTATTTATAGATCCTCCTGATCCTAGATACATAGGTTAGTTCAAGATCCTAGATACACAGGTTAGATAAAGATCCTACAGATTCTATACGTAGGTTAAGTTTATGGAACCTACATTTTCTGGATACCTAGGTTAGTTCAAAGATGCTCAGAGGGCTAGATTTATATATTAAAGTTAAAGCAGTGCTTAGGATCCGGATCCGTTGGATCCGCATGATTTTGGCTTCCTGGATCCGGATCCGCAAAAATATACGGATCCACGGATACGGATCGAAGGGGTAAAATATCAAACAAAAACTGAAAAAAACGTTTTTACTCCTAAAACCCAAATCTCAACTTTTGAAAAAAAGATATAATTAAAATTTCCTCATTTCTAAATGGTTTATCAAGTTTTAGGATAAAAAAGCGGAAAAAAATAAAATAAAAAATTTTAAAATTATTTTTTGTTAAAAAAAATCAGTAAATCTTAAAGAAAAGACCTGAATCCATTTTTTCCACTGCGGATCCAGGCTCCAGACCCGGAGCCGCATCAAAATAAAATGGATCCTAAGTACTGAATTAAAGTAAAGAACAAAACTAAAATGTAGAGTGTATTAATCTATCTGTACACTATTTACTGAGATGCCTATGTTAAGGTGTACCTAGAGCTGCTCCTGAGGGAACCCTAACCTCCTCCTCCAGCGGTTTATCTAGTGATGAGCGCTGGTATGATTTTATGGATGTTCCTCTCTCCTCGGAGAACTCTCCTCCACCACTCCCGACCAGGATAGGATCTAAAACCTCCGCCTTTCAGACCGTATCCAAGGGGCGGAAGGAAGACGAGTATCCAGGGTTTACTGGATACACACCACCAGTCCGTGGATACAACGGATATGAAAGCGCGTCATCTAGTGATACAGTCAAATCATCCTCAACGGTGCACAGAGGTGAAATAACAGTGCAGGAGGAGACGCGGTCGGTTGACGCGCGCAGCACGTACCTTACAGACTTTGAGTTGACTGTTTCAGCCTCAGACGAGCGAGAAAATTTAAGTGTTGAAAAGGAGGTTGATTATCTGAGACATGAACGTTTAGCCGCACTGAAGCCCTCATTAGATCCCCAGGATAGTTTGATGAATGAACGGTTACTAGCAGGTCGGTCAGAGGACGAACTTTCTTCCTCAAGTCATAGTCCTAACCGTCCTAGACAAGGTCGGAGAAACACAACGGGAGCAACAACTCCGTCCTCTACAGCCAGTAATAGTTCTCGAGGACACAGTCCGAGAACAACCAGTGGCCTACCCGAGGCTGCAAAGAAGAAGGTTGCGAGGTCGGCTAGGAACTCTGCCAACCTGGCCTCCTCTACCCTGCAGGAGGATCTGATGAAACTAATAAGTCCTGAGTATACTGAGGAGGGATCTGTCCAGGACTCTCCTCTATCTAAACTACCAAAGAAAACCCTGACTGAGTTGACCCTCATGAAATCTAGATCCCGAGAGAATATTGCCAGGCTCGAGGACAATGTTTCCAATGAGGTTAGTTTCCATATGGCGAGGCCGGCCACTGTAATCTCCAACTCCTCCCACACCTCAAGTCCCGGAGATAGAAACCTAAACATATCAAACCTGAGTAAGGATGATCCAACCTCTCCTGACAACCCTGCTCGATCCAAGGTTTCTCCAGTAGGGATCAAAGTTGGGAAACATAATGGAATCAATCCATCCGTCCCACCTGGTACTGTTGTAGTATCCGGAGCAGCTGGTGGTGGGAGCAAACCTGAGGATATGGACTGGAATAGTTTAGTAGATACTGCAACCAAAGCTATGTTTAGTTCTGAGGAGGAGGAACCGTCTCCAGGTGTAACCAGAGCCAATCCTTCTCCCGGAGTACCGGAGGAGAAGGTTCTGAGGCTGTTGGAGCGCGTAACCTTGCTGGAGAAGGAGTTGGAGGGGGAGAAGAAGAGTAAAGAGCATTTGAGCAGTCAGGTGGATCAACTTAAGGAAGAGAATGTTAGACTCCAGGAAGAAAGCCAAACTGCTGCACAGCAACTTAGAAGATTTACTGAATGGTTTTTTCAAACCATTGATAAATCTTAGACACGCTTCAAGCCCGGCCTTTGATTCTTAGACGCGCTTTCAGATTACAAATATATATATATTATAGATTTCTACAGCTTTATATTCAATAAGGTTGGAATCCTACATGTTTTAAGAAAATTCTTGGTTTAACCACGTTGAGTCCCAGTGAAGGATCATTATTTTTTATATTTATATATATTATAAATAATATATGTCCTAATGTTTCTAGATAAATTCATTTGCTGCACTTTGATAATGTTCTAATAGGTTGGTGCAGTACAGTTCAGTACAGTACATGTGTATATTTTTATATTGTTGATTTAAATATAATTTTGTATTATTTGAGACAGTATGTATCCTTTTATACATTTCTTGTAATAAATTCTCAGCTATATTATTTTTGTTTAATTTTTAAATTTTTTATTCTCAATTCAATGTCTTCAAAAATATTGACATTTTCCTTTTTAAGTTCCAATAAGAACCAGACTTTTTCAAAATCTGCTAAATATTCCATGAAATCCGCTAAATATAAAAGCTTTCTTTTTCTGCTTTCTCCATTGGAAAGAGAAAGTAAATTTACTGAAATCAGCTGATAGCAGAACAAATATAGTTGTTTTCAGATGTAAGTTTTATTTGACGATATAATCACTTTCTTCTTAATTTGTTTTCTAGTGAACAACGTTTTGTACAGTTTTACACTTGAAACAAAGTTATATATGATAACCGTACAAGTGTACTTGGTACATGTTGTACACTATAACCCCTGTTGATTGTACAACATGAATATATTTTCAGATTAACAATGAATGGTGGCAGTATTGGAATCCTTTGTAAATCATGCAATAAAGTTACAAGCATTAAACCATGTTCAATTCTGTCAAAGCAAAATACAAATGGCCTGATTTATAAACGTAGCAGTATGGGCACTAAAAGAAATATCTCCACCAATTACAGAGATAAAAAGTTGCTTTTTAAACCTTTGAAAGAGCAGCAGCGTAGAACACTTATGATGCTGCTTAATCCAGACGGATCTAAATTAAGGTGTGAAAAACTATTAAAAAATTAATGTTTTACAAACTGAAATCTTTGAAACAGTAATTTTGTTTTTTTTTTAAGTATAAAAAGCTTGCAAAAAAATTATTTCGCATGAATAGAATTTTATCATGTGCGTCGGGCGCTTACTACGAAGTATAATATTTTTATAGGGAAAGCATCATAATACAGATAAAAAATAACCATAATTTGAAAATAATTTATGTAAGATAACAATACATACATGGGGTTGGGGGAGGGGTTTGGTCTATTTTAATGGATTCTTTATAAAGAAGCAATTTCATATTTAGATTTTTTATATAATATAATTTATGCAAGATTATAAGAATTTTTACTTTAGAATACAGGGTGAACTGTTTAATAATCCTGCTGCAGTATCAGACAAAGCAAATACTCGAGTAAAGGAACTTGAAGAAATATTAAATAATCTCATGATGGAAGAGAACACTCCCCCTGTAGCTGATTCTCATAACATTAAAGAAACTACAGCTCAAGATTCAATAGAAACGTCAGCGCAAACCATAGTTGCAGCTTCTGTAGAATTCACTCCTGCTGAAACCATAGTTGCAGCTCCTGTAGAATTCGCTCCTGCGCAAACCATAGTTGCAGCTCCTGTAGAATTCACTCCTGCTGAAACTAAATTTGCTGCTCCTGTTGAAACTTCAGATCCTGTAGAGAACGTTGTAACTGTAGTGGATGCTCCAGTAGAAACATTAATCACGAAAGAACCTAACGTAGAAGTTCTGAAAGAAGATTTTGTTGATACAGCTCGAGTTTTCCAGGAAGAAAATCTTAAATCCATCGAGATAAAAGCTACCGAGGTGTTAGAGGATAAAGCAAAGATACTGCTAACGGATACAATGGAAACCATCTCAACCAAACCTAGATCTAGTCAGGATAAAGAGAAAGCAGTAAAGAACTCGGAGAACATTGTTGTTTCTTCAAAAGGAAATTTTTCAATGCGGATTACTCAAGCGGAGCCAGATATTTCAGATGACAACGAGGGATGTTATATTTATATTAAAAAAAAATAAAATATTCTAGGGTTTCAGATTACCTACAATTAATATATATTTAATGACAACTTAAAACTCATTGAATTTGAGATTCTTTTTTTAAAAAATGGTCATGGTATTTATATATAATAAATGAAAAGAGAACAGAACATAGTCAGTACACAGTACAGTCTCCGAAGACTTTTAAGTTTCGTCAGTTTTGGGCAACTTCATGTTGATGCTAAATGTCGTTTTCCATGTTATGTTATTTGTCAGTAATTCAGTACTTAGGATCCGAATCCGTTGGATCCGCAAAATTTGGCTAATTGGATCCGGATCCGCAAAAATATGCGGATCCACGGGGGGAAATATCAACCAAAAACTGCAAAAAAAAACTGTTTTACTCTTAAAACCCAAATCTGAACTGTTGAAAAAAGAGAGAGAATAAAAATTGTCTGTGCTCTGAATGGTTCATCAAGTTTCAGCACAGAAATAAGAACAAAATATTTGTCAATTCTATTTTTCAGTAAATCTTAAAGAAATGTTCATGACCTGGATCCGGATCCATTTTTTTCAAGTGCGGATCCAGGTTTCGAATCCGCATCCAAATTAAATGTATTCTAAGCACTGCTTAGCTTTTACCCTTTGGTTTATGGAAACATTAAATCATCTTGGAATATTAAATTGTTTTTCCATTTTTGTTTGAAAGTTTAAAAATATATGTTGTTTTTTATATTTTTTTAAATTTATTTTTCTTTCGTAAAACTTGCAAAGTAGATATATAATTTATACTAAATATTCTATCAATGAAGAAGGCTGAATCTAGCTCCGACTCCAGTTCCAGCTCTGACTCCAGTTCTAGTTCTAGCTCTAGCTCCGAGGATGAGAAAACACAGGGAGAAGGGAAAACTAAAAAAGAAAAGAAGCTGTTCTCTGCCAAGCAACGGGACGAAAAAGCCAGACTAGCAAAAGTAATATTTGTTTTCAATTTACATTGTGTTTAAAGGGAGTGACCGGCAATTTACGGTAGTTGAACTTAGAATAAAGTAGTATTGTGGAGAAATATTTCAGGATTCATTTGAGACCTATAAACGTTAATGTACAATTAGAGAGTATGAGCGCCAAGTCGACGTTCAAAATCATCAATTTTGGTGGTTACGTTTAGAAAAATGATTTTTTTTAAATTATTAAATAATGACGACAAAAAATGTAAAAAAAATCTACAGTAAACTAATTAGATGTTTAGGAACATATTTCTCAATTGAAATTTTCTCAATAAATCAATGTTAAAATCAAGTATTTCTTTTTCATCATTATATTGAATTTCTTAGTCGTTATGAAAGGAAATCTACAGAAAATGTTTGTGAACAATGAGACATTACAGAAACTAATAACTGAATAAGATAACTTATTTTCGATGAGAACAGTCGTCGTCGTTATTGAATAATTTTTTTGAAACCGATTCTCAAAATTATCCCTCAAAAATTACCAATCTATGAGGATTTTAATGGTTGAATTTGCGCTCTTGCTGAACAAATATGCACCGTAAAAACGTCTCAAATGTCTCAAATTATTCCAAAAAAATCTCCACAATACTACATTCTCTGTTCAAGAGCCATACATTGCCGGTCACTCCCTATAATTGAATTGTCCATTATTCCCAAATTATAATTGTTTTGAGGTTATAGCTTTTACTTTTCGTGATGAAGCAGCTTTCCGTTTCTTGTGCTGTGGGTGTCTTACAATTTAAGTTTATTTCTCTTGGATATTCTGTGGTGGTCGTAACTTTCAAATTCAAAATTAACCACATGGGATATCATGATCAAGCGTTGTAAATTAGAGCTTTTTCACACAAAAGTTTAGATATTCAGCCTTTAACATTAAATTGAGAACGGTATTACAGATTAAATTTAGTACATACGTATGATCTAAATTTTTTGTAAAACTATCAAAGCTGTTGAAATTAATTTGTAAATCATTTTTAAGTTTTAATTTAGACGTTCAAGACGACTATTAAACCGTTGGAACTAAATATTTCGGCGGCCACTAAAATGCCGGATGATCCTATCCTGGAGGAACCGTTGAGAAGTTTCCGAAAAGAAATTCATGTTGATGAAATAGAATCTATAAACAGCGGTGGGGCAACCATATTATATCAGTAAGTTCAGCTTTTGCAGGGTGTCCATTTAAACAAGGGTATACTGAGAGCTTTAAAATATTGCAGGGTGTCCAATTAAACAAGGGTATACTGAGAGCTTTAAACTATTGCTGGGTGTCCAAATAAACATGTGTACTGAGAACTTTAAACTATTTCAGGGTGTCCAATTAAACAAGGGTATACTTAGAGCTTTAAACTATTGGTGGGTGTCCAATTAAACAAGGGTACTGAGAACTTTAAACTATTGAAGGGTGTCCAATTAAACAAGGGTATACTGAGAGCTTTAAAATATTGCAGGGTGTCCAATTAAACAACGGTATACTGAGAGCTTTAAAATATTCCAGGGTGTCCAATTAAACAAGGGTACTTAGAGCTTTAAACTATTGCTGGGTATCTAAGTAAAACAAGGCCGGGTACTGACAACTTTAAATTATCGCTGGGTGTCCAAAAAAACAGGTGTATTGAAACTTTAAAATATAGCAGGGTGTCCAATTAAAAAAGGGTACTGACAACTTTAAACTATCGCTGGGTGTCCAAATAAACAAGGTTAATGACAACTTTAAACTATTGCAGGGTGTCCAATTAAACAAGGGTACTGACAACTTTAAACTATTGCTGGGTGTCCAAATAAACATGTGTACTGAGAACTTTAAACTATTGCAGGGTGTCCAATTAAACAAGGGTATACTTAGAGCTGTAAACTATTGGTGGGTGTCCAATTAAACAAGGGTAGTGAGAACTTTAAACTTTTGAAGGTTGTCCAATTAAACAAGGGTATACTGAGAGCTTTAAAATATTGCAAGGGTGTCCAATTAAACAAGGGTATACTGAGAGCTTTAAAATATTGCAGGGTGTCCAATTAAACAACGGTATACTGAGAGCTTTAAAATATTCCAGGGGGTCCAATTAAACAAGGGTACTGACAAATTTGAACTATCGCAGGGTGTCCAATTAAACAAGGGTACTTAGAGCTTTAAACTATTGCTGGGTATCTAAATAAACAAGGCCGGGTACTGACAACTTTAAATTATCGCTGGGTGTCCAAATAAACAGGTGTATTGGGAACTTTAAAATATAGCAGGGTGTCCAATTAAAAAAGGGTACTGACAACTTTAAACTATTGCTGGGTGTCCAAATAAACAAGGTTAATGACAACTTTAAACTATTGCAGGGTGTCCAATTAAACAAGGGTACTGACAACTTTAAACTATTGCTAGGTGTCCAAGTAAACAAGGGTACTGACAACTTTAAACTATTGCTAGGTGTCCAAATAAACAAGGGTACTGACAACTTTAAAATATTGCAGGGTGTCCAATTAAACAAGGGTACTGACAACTTTAAAATATTGCTTAGTGTCCAATAAAACAAGGGTACTGACAACTTTAAACTATTGCAGGGTGTCCGAATAAGCTAGGGTACTGACAACTTTAAACTATTGCAGGGTGTCCAAACGGGAAAGTGTTTTTGAAAGATGAACTACTTTAAGACTTTAATGCATGGGAAAACTGAATTTAACCTTGGGATCGTAATGTTTTAAGAGTTTCAGGTCGTCTTTACGGTGCCAAACTTTGTGGGTCACCCTGTAATTTTTCCATTAATTTAATAATTCAAACACTAATTTTTAAGTATTTCTGATGTGTTCCCAAAAATTGTAAAATACGACATTTGAGGAAAAAAATTTATATACACTTTAAAGACGACATTTATTCAAAAAATACCTTTTCATGTTGCCAGAATTTCCCCTGGATATCTAGGGGTTGAACCTCGGTTAAACCTTGAACCAGAGAACTTCCCCGAATATGTCATTTAACATTTCTGAAATACGTTTTAACGTAATATATCCAAATATATAACATCAGTTTCACCCCTTTTTATTTAGTCAGACGGACAATAAATAAATAAGTGTAAAAAACAGAAAATAAAGAACAGATAAAATTTCACTGATTTCACCAGAAGATAAGCACTTTAGTCAAAAGTTATTATTTTATTTTTAATTTTGTCAGACACAGAAATTGAGTTGACACTTGTGACGACAGCTGTACTGAGAGTGTGCGCATTGTATGTTACCATCTATTGTACTAATTTCTCGTGCTGTACACTTTACAGTGTACACAATTCAGTGTAAATGTATAGTGTACACCAAATTGAAGGATGTTACAGTAATAACAACCCTTTATCTTTAGATTTTTTTCTCCAGCTTTTATAGTTTTATTAGTTTTGAAAGAAATAGAGTATTTCAATAATTAAAAAAAATTTTAATTATTGAAATTCTGTTTTTAACAAAATGTAAATTTTAGATGAAAGAAGTTGATGTTAATGTAGTTGCTAGTATTCACAGTAGAAGAGGCAGAATACAGGCCTGGGAGCAACAACAGCTGCCAAAAAAATAAAAATGTATCAAAAATAATCTAAAACATAGTAAGCTTTAAATGATTAAGAAAATGTTCGCTAAATAGAAAACCCGGGAAGACGACATAGAAAATATATAAAAACTGGTATGTCGTCTTTCAAAGTCCAGTTGTTACATTTAATTGATCAAATCTATTTAGTTCAAAGCATATTCAAAAATAGTTATATTTAACAAGATAAGCTCAAAATTTATCTTTATCAACTGAAAGCATTTGAAGCCCATTTTTCATCATGTGAAATTTCGTAAGATTACGTATAATTACTTAAATACGGTTAAAATTATTAGTTTAAAAGAGAACAAAACCGAAACAAGTTTTAACATGGAAAACTAATCATTTAAGATACTTATCTTAGTCATATTGTTAAACAAAATTTATATGCAAAATATATTTATTTATATAGAAATATGTTAATTAAAAATATTTTTACTATTTTTTATTTTCTTTTTCTGTGAAGTTGGCTCTGGTTAATTGATTATGGTTTCGAATATTGTTTCAGAGTGTTTTAATTTATGTTATGTACTTTCCCAAAGGTTTTTTTCTAAGTGGTAACTTTCCATGGGTATTTTGCCAAGTGGTGACTTCCCAAATGGGGAATTTCCCAATTCTGTCCCAGCTGCAGCGCTGGGCCCCCAGCATGTTCTAGTCTCGGCACTAGGCTTTCTAGCCGAAGTGCTCGGCCCCCATTGCAGCCTGATGGCGCCTCAGAGGGCCTTACCTAACCTTTGGAAAGTTGCCGCTTGGGAAATTGATTATTTGGGAAGTTGGCACTAATTTGAAAATGATTGTGTGTTTCGTATAGTTTTTGGTCTGAAAAAAAAACATTCCTTCAATATTTCCCCAATGAATAGTGTTCTAGGAAAAGGGTTTTCACTGATAAACTGATAGCAGTGAGCGTGATATTAACCTTGAAATGAATGAGCCTAATAATGGTTTGGTTAGGTGCTGGCGTCCAAATCTCTGGTATCTGTAAATCTACATCCTGTACTCCTGTGGAGAGTACACGAGATGATATTATCTAATTTTATTACATTGTTTAATTTGTAAAAAGGAATAAACCATGTTGTTCTATTAAAATTCAAAATATTACAGAAATCATTCATTAATTAACAAGTATTAAAAATGAATTTGATAGGTTCTGTTCCTACTAAAGGTGTTAGCTTTTAAATGTTGCTTTTTCTTGGTTCACTAAAAACTGAACATGTTGCGGATATAGTGATTACGTTGAGACGTTTATCTGATACAAACAGACAAGTCAAATAGATATATATTTAGTATTCGAGTAAATCCTTCAACTATCCACACAAGATTAGATTTGGAAAGAATTATGATTTTTTTCCTTAATCCTGCTCTGATTCTGATATTTGAGACTTACCATGCATTGATTATTTTTATTTGATACTGATTGGAAGATTTGTTTGAGTAATGGATGTGTCTACGCCTCGTTTCTTTTTTGATAAATACTATTTCGACACGAACAACTTGATTGAACATTTTAAACAACAGAAGTTTCACGCTTTTTTGGCAATGTGAGTTGAATTAAGGATGATGAAGATATAAACGTCATTAGAACTGCTCAAAAAAAGATTAACTTTTATTTTAATACGTTACAGAAAAAAGTGAACACAAATTCTTCCTTAGTTCAACTTAAATTGTTTTTTTTTGTAAATCTTTCACCGTGCCCTTTACAGTGTAGACTTGGTGACTTGTCCAGGCCCCTTTGTGCTAAATGTTGAATTGTTCAGAATTATTTAGTTAGTTTCATGATTCACAGTTGGTTGGTTCTAAAATATAAATATGCTGGCACTTCTTTTTATTCTGCTTTTCAAACCAACATACACAGGACTTATTTTAAAGAGGTATCAAACTAATAATAATAATGATTAATAAAAATAATACAAATAAAAAAAGTTGAATAGTAATAGTCTTACGTAAATAAAAAAGAGATTATGTAATTTAATACAGTTATTTATTCACTTAAAAATACGGTCCATATCTAATTGAAATTATGACGCTAATTTGTAGGCAAATGATACAGTCATATTACAATTTTGTATATTTTTGTGTCCAATAACTTTTTGAACGATCAAAGCTATTATTAATGTGAAAATAATATTGTAATTATATAATTTTATAGGCAAATGCTCTCTTCTAAGCAAGTTGAAACATTAACAGATTTGTAAGTATAAATGTATTCTAGAAGTTTATAGGACTGCGTTTCTTTATTATTGGAAATGAAACGATTCATATTTTTATAATTTTACAATTTATATTAACAATAAAATCTTCAGGATTGTCGTCGTAATTGTTATTAAAAAATAACATGCCCGATTCTCGACCGTTAGTACCCTAAACCTTAATCTAAACGATAATGTGAAAGATATCGTCGTTTTTAGGACTTGAAAAAAAATGTTCAATTCTTAGAAGTTATCGATTGTTTCAGAAGCAAGAAATACAAATGAAAAAAAAACAGTTTTCAAAAACAAAAAGTCTTTAAAAATTAGTTTAAAACATCTTTCACAGGAAATCAACAGATTTAAGTGTAATAATAATTTTACACTGTATAAATAATTTCCATCTGTTATCGTTCATAATCGTTTACTATTCCGAATACAGACTTTAAGCCGAATTTTCAAGGCCATTTTTTGGTTTCAAGCTTTTTGCCAGGATCTGATGCAGGGGGGGGATTTTTTCAATTCCCTTTTTTCTCTCTATCAAAGAAAGGGACAAAATGTGGACATAATTTTAAGTGACCCTATACATTTATAATAACGGAAATTTTCATATTTTTCAAACTTAAAATCGACAAGAAAAGAAAATTGACAAATTTATTTCTGTTCAAGATCGGAAAATGATTATATCTTTCTGATTGCTACTTGAAGATAATGATTTTAAGAATACCGTAGTGACTGTGTAGTGAATATAACATTTAACTCTTTATATTACTAAAGCTTATCTAAAACTACACAGACAGGCCTTTAAATATAGATGCTAACATATATATATCTAAATTTGTAATCTCTATTGGTCTCTTTGTTTGTTTTTCCGATCACGACTCAGGAACCCTTGACCGATTTGCCTCAAATTTCGATTGGGGAACTCGGGAAAACCACGGATATGTTCTTAGCTTTGTTTTGAGATTCTAATTTGATCGCTTCAAAAGTCGATCCGACTTTTAAAGCGAAAATTTAGTTTCACGGTACAATCGTCCAAGTGCGGGTAAACGACAGGAGTAACTATTTGTAACCCGGCAGCACTGGGTTTCCAAGCTAATATATATGTATATATATATACATCTGTACTGTATAGATGTGACAGCACAACAACAGCTGCTGGAAATGCTCCCACTAACTGTCTCGAAAACCAGGAGGATGGAAGCACTGCCAGTAGTGTAAATATTTTGATTATCTAATTAATAATTAATCCTTTATGTCCCACATTTATTTAAACGTTGGTGAAATTTGTGTAATTTCAAATTACTAAAATAGTGAAGATCTCTTTTTAAAGTCATTTGTTGTATAGGTTAGATTTCATCCTTATCTACACTTGAGTTGTTTTACGGAAATACTTTTCCGTCATTGTTTTCATTCTAAACATTTTGCAAAACGTAGATAATTGATTTATTGATTTACTCCAACCAATTTGTATCTTCTTTTTGTTGGCTCGGAGAGATACTCAACTATGAATTTTATTAATTAAATTTTGAGACTCGGTCGACTTTGAAGTGTTGCCTTTTTATTTTATTTTACCAATTCCCTTATTCTGTTTTTGTTTAACAGAAGTAATATTTGATAGGTTTTAGTTTTTAAATTAACATTTTATTTTAATCTAAAATATAATATAATATCATAAGTTATATTGTTATGTAAATGTTTTCAACTACTTATGAAAAACTAAAGTTAAAAAAACAGAAACTAGAGCATAGCTCCACAGTACTTTATGCTTCTTAATAAATATAAAAGGCCAAGCCGTGGTTTTAAAGCCAATGTTGAACCTTTTCATAGCAGCCTAGATCTATGTGGATAGTGTCTCATTATCCTAATCAATATATTCCAGATGACCCCTGTACCTGTACCTGCTGTGCCCGAATCCTGGGGCTGGTCAGAATGGTCCGATCCTGTAGGTCAGTTGTACTTTGGAAGCATAGCAAAAGTTTGCACCATTATGTACAGCAGATGTGAAGTTTTCAATTTTTCGTAAAAGATCTTCTGTCTTATGAATACCAAAAAAAAATACGAAAACGTTAACAAAAGTATCTTTAATATTTTTTTTTACAAATATTTAAATTAAATTAAAATTTAAGTTTTCAATCCGGGGTCATCTATTTTATTTCTAGATGATTGCCCTAATGATTGCCCGAGGTCGTGTCGGGTTCGGTTCAGACACTGCAATGGTCCGAGGGAGCACTGTGCCGGCAAGGTTTGGGTTGGAATCTGTAAAATATCTCGTCTATGATAAACTTGAGAACTTAAAAGAAAAAAATATTGATTAAAGGGACTGTAAAGGAAAACTGAAAGGGGGTATAAGCTAAAACCTGAGAATCTCAGGTTTACTCCCATTATATATTTTTTTATTTTGCATTTATAATAGATATAATTGATAATATATATATTCAGCCAATGATAGTGCAGTATACTGGTCACGTGATTTCCGTCTGTATCACGTGACAACAATACTGCACTGCCATTGGCTGATGAAGTTCTGGTGACGTAATATTGCCTCTAACAAAATTCGATTTTTGAAAATTTAGAAAATCAACGAATTTTTTTTAAATTGCGAAATTTTTGTTTGTTTTTGTTTTACAATGTTTACAAAGAGAACATGTTCACAATTGAAATAAAAGATAAAAGCCTAGTGCCATAAATATCAATACAATGAAAAAAGTATTTATCTTTGCAAAAAGAAATTTATATTTATTATATTTATTTATTATTTATGTATTTGGGATAAACTGTACATGAATTCACGCCTGTCTGCAGTATTCACTTTATTGTTTCTACTAGGCCACCAGCCTCTCCCCCTGCCCAGCTCTAGTTCCAGAAGAGAATACAGAAACAGAGAATAAACCTCCAGGAAAGTATAAAAAATGAACTGATGACACGCCTCATCTCTATATTTTAATGCTTATGTCTTTGTAACCTGAGGATGTAAACCTTTATATTTCAACTTATGACTATATTAGACATAACAGATTTCATAGTTTGCGACATCAGAATTCAAAGATAAAATGATTAGAAAATTAGAGTTTGAGGCGAATAATCATTATTAGTTGTGAAAAGTTATAAGTGCCTGTTTTAGCTTAACTTCTACATAAACTCTTTTCATTTTGCGAATTCGATTTTTGAAATGATTTTATTAAAACTTTTTTATATTTATTATTATTTTATATATTTTTTTATTTAAGCAAGCAAAATATGCCGTAATATTTTTTAAAGTTGGTATCGCACAACTGATCTACTCATAAAAATACCTGTCACTTTTAGACTTTTTAGGTTCAGCGTGAATTTTTGTGAATTGTTGTTTACTCTTGTTTTACCAATAAGCTTTATGTATTACAGTTGTGGAAAATGAAGGTGTTCCTGCAGAAGATACTGAGATAGTTGCTCTACCGAACCCAGCCTAAACCCACATATTGTTGTTGTTGTTGTTTTTCTAAAACATAACTATATATTACTGATCACTTTGTTCTGGAATAAGAAATTTTATTTCAAGATGTATATTTTGTGTATCCACTGAAAACTAATAACCGAGCTTTGGAATAATATATTTCAATCCCAAGGCGTATATGACGACTAAACTGATTATGTATGTCTGGAGGTTCAATAAATTAGAGAGAAAAAGTTGAAAACTAGGTACAGCTAGTTGAACTGATTTTCAAGGCTAGATAATTTAATGAATAGATCGAAAAGAGATTTTTAAAATGTGGTCTGTCTTATTTGCATTTTTTAGCTAAACATCTTCTAAACAATTGGATTTTTTAGTGTGTTTAGCTGTCAAGTTTGAAATTGAAAAAACTTCTCAGACTACATTTGGGAAATCCCAAGAGAAGGTGTGTTCAACACCCTGTACTATTCTTCAGAAATTTATTTAGTCTTAAAGCTCGAATTAATTTATAATTATTTTAATTGTAATTTAAGACTGTATTCAAAGCAGAAAGCAAAATGAGTTCTGAAGATTGTAGATCGTTAAATTAAAAGAATGGTGGGTCGTCATTACACTATGATCCTTTGTGAGTAACCCTGCGTATGTATCAATACAGTAAAGACGACTTTTGATTTCAATTTTGATTTCTATAAAAGCCTATAAGATGCACATGGAAACAAATCATCATCGTATATATCAATACAATGAAGATGATTCAATTTTTATTTCTATAAAAGCTTTTAAACAGATACACATGGAAACAAAGAGAAGCTACCACAATTAACAGCTTCTCTCTTATTCTCTTCATTGTATTAATATACACCCAGACCACTGCAGACATAAAAGAGCTCCAAATTCTCTTTTGAGTCTCTTTTTGCATGTTCATAAAACCTTACAGATATCCGTTGATTATTTTCATTAAAAGATATTAATCTATAATTTATTTCAAGTTCTACTTAACATGAAAATATTGAAATAAACACGCCGTGTATTCTAATTCTTCTTTCTGATAATGCTTTTCAACTTTAGATCTAAAATAGGGATTATTATTAACAATATTAGAAACATTTATTTATCTTTAAGTACGTTTAATTTTTAAAGAAAGGTCAACCTACAGGATGTCCCAATAAACAAAGGTATTCAGTGACGAATTCGATATCGTCTTTTTAAATAATTCTTAGATTTAGTATAGTGATACCTACTGAGAAAGCTGTAATCCGTAAGATTTTCGTCTGCTATGCATGCTTACAATTTGTTTGTTTATGTTTTGACTGTATACGGTTATACTTAGTACATGAAAATTATAGTATACAAACAGAGTAAATTTGTCCGTCGTCACTGTTCATCTTGCGGAGACATTACAGACACATCTTTACAGTTAATTTTACCCTTTTCATAAAATAAACTCTAAAAAACATAATAATATTATGGCTTTTGAAGTTAGGTATTACAATGCTAATTCATAACAAAGACGATATCGAATTCGTCACTGAATTCGACACCCTGTATCAAAGATACTTTTAAACAAATTAACAGAATTTTCGAAAAATTCATAAAAACTTTTTTCAACACTAACCCAAGATTCAAAGAAGCATTTCTGTCCCAACTAAATTTCCATCCTCTAACCTCAGTTCTTGATACAAGATCCTCTAAAAATAAACCGATAAGTCGTCGTTTCTCTTCACATTGTCAAAAATATTCCCGGGGGGGGGGGGTGTAAATACATAAAAATTGCAATTAATTTAAAAAAAAAACAAGAACACAGTTGCATATATCCAGAATTATTAGAAAAAATACCGAAAAAAAATTCTCATCCTCGATGGGTTACCCTGTATACCCATATATATCACCTTCTATCAGTCCTCGGTGGGCTACCCTGTATACCCATATATATCACCTTCTATCAGTCCTCGGTGGGTTACCCTGTATACCCATATATATCACCTTCTATCAGTCCTCGGTGGGTTACCCTGTTTACCTATATATATCACCTTCTATCAGTCCTCTAGTTACCCTGTTTACCCATATATATCACCTTCTATCAGTCCTCGGTATGTTACCCTGTTTACCCATATATATCACCTTCTATCACTCCTCGGCAAAGAATTGATGATGGCAGTCCCCGGACTACTACATCTCTTTCACATAGATACAGTGAGAACCAGAAAACTGTGGAATATGAAGACGACACTGAGCAATAGATAAGTGTATTTGATATTGTTACAATGCAAAGACTTTTACAAGTAACTTATCAAATCAACTTTTAACAATTCACAATTGCAAGTCTTAACCTGAGTTTAAAAGTCGTCTTCCTATTCCAGAGTTTTATTATATGAATTAGCATAAAAAACAATGATTAAATTGACTAATTTAATAATGTTAGTTTGAATAAATTGAGTTATTTTTGAAGAACACTGTTTGAGACATTTTTTAAAAATCTTTTTGCAGCGACTCAAATATTCAACTCTCTATATACCTTTTTATATTTAAAAAATTTGTAAAAAAAAACCTATTTAATAATGCGCTCAAAAACAGACTGAAAAAGAAAGAATTAAAAATTTTCTAATTTTTTCTTACCTTATCAAAGTCTTTTGTTACCTGTAGTTTAGATTGTTCAAGTTTTGATGAATGTCTCTTGAATGGGTTTGAGGATGAGAAGGGTTCATATGTTCTAAAGTCGATCCAGAACTATTGAATAGTTCTGTCCGGTTATCCTCCATCTTCTTTACTGTGGGATCCAGAATATTAAAAGGAATATTTTTTGATTCATTTTTAAGATTAGAATCAAATTGATCTTTAATTTTTAACCTACGAGAATCGATGAAACTTGCACTGTTTGCGGTTTCTGATTTTATTTGAGGATTTAACTTGTTCTGCGGTTTGATAATATCCGTCTTAATTTGATCAGAGTTTACCAATGATATTGGTGATTTAACTTGTGAGGTTACTGAGCTAATTTGCAGGATAGGAGGTGTTGATTTAGTAGAACTTCCTTGATTTAGCAGGGTTGGTAAGCTTAATGAATCCTGCTTTGGTTTGGAAGGTTTTAGTGAACTAAGATTTGAATCTCCAGCTTTGATTGAAACATTCTGTGTTGGGGACCAATGTCTTGATGATTGTTTGATGGGGGTTTCAGAACAAGAAACCAAGGAACTAGATTTTGAGTTCGGATTTGAACACACGCACAAGGGTCTTGAAGGGTTATAAATCAACTTCTCAGAACATGAGACAATCGAAGAAGGGTCAGAAATATCCTGCATTTGAATCGGAACATGAACAGTTGATGTTGAGAAAGGTTTTGATGAATCAGACTTATCTGGAAAGTAAACCAATGAAGGGTTTGAATGTGTAGTACCTTGACTTTGGATTGGGACATTATAGACAGTTGATGATTTTTTGATGGAAATATCTGGACAAGAAGCCAATGAACCTGGTTTAGAATGTGAGGCAACCTGCCCTTTCAATGGGACATTATAAACAGTTGGGGACAAAGGTCTTGATGATTTAGAAATGGGATTATCTGGACGAGAAGACAATGAAGCTGGTTTTGAATGTGGGGAAACCTGACTTTGGATTGGGACATGTACAGTTGGGGACAAAGGTCTTGATGATTTAGAAATGGGATTATCTGGACGAGAAGCCAATGAAGCTGGTTTTGAATGTTGGGTAACCTGACTTTGGATTGGGACATGTACAGTTGGGGACAAAGGTTTGATGGAATTATCTGGACGAGAAGCCAATGAAGCTGGGTTTGAATGTGGAGTAACCTGACTTTGGATTGGGACATGTACAGTTGGGGACAAAGGTCTTGATGATTTTTTGATGGGATTATCTGGACAAGAAGCCAATGAACCTGGTTTTGAATGTGAGGCAACCTTCCCCTTCAATGGGACATTATAGACAGTTGGGGACAAAGGTCTTGATGATTTTTTGATGGAATTATCTGGACGAGAAGCCAACAAAGCTGGTTTTGAATGTGGGATAACCTGACTTTGTATTGGGACATGTACAGTTGGTGACAATGGTCTTGATGATTTAGAAATGGGAATATCTGGACACAAATCCGATGAACAGGGTTTTGTGTGAGGAGTACCCCGTCTTTGAATTTGAACTTGGATTATTTGGGACAAAGACGGTTTTGGTTTGGGATTTCTATTCTCTAAATATTGGGAGTTTGTACTTTGGGAAGGTGATGAACGACCACTTTCTGAAAATAATTGGTTTCTGCATAATTATTTTATTAAAAAAATATGAGTTCAAATATTAACTACCTGAATTTTGGGATAAAAATGGATAAACTGGACTTGAAACATCACTTCTAGAACAAAAAAATTAATTAAAAAGGAAAAATTAACAAAGAAAAAAGAGTTACCTACAGCTGTTATTGCTACAGGCACTAGATCTATCAGAATCCTAAAATCATGTTGTCAAGCTATACATGTAGTTTCATAAGCAACAAAATATGGTTAAATACATAACAAGTGGGTTGCTGTAAGTACCTTTAAAAAAAAGGCACTACAAAACCTGCTCTATGAATGTTTACTCTATCACAGCATTTTCTCTATGGACCATTTGTTTAAAATTTCAAATAAAATTCTCTATAATGCAAAACCTTGAATTTTCTAGTTGCAGCGCTCGGCTTTCTTCTAAAACTTTTAGCCCAAAATAAGAATTCAAAGAGCAAATGTTGTGTTCTATGAGGTACATAAAGAGCAAATGTTGTGTTCTATGAGGTACATAAAGAGCAAATGTTGTGTTCTATGAGGTACATAAAGAGCAAATGTTGTGTTCTATGAGGTACATAAAGAGCAAATGTTGTGTTCTATGAGGTACATAAAGAGCAAATGTTGTGTTCTATGAGGTACATAAAGAGCAAATGTTGTGTTCTATGAGGTACATAAAGAGCAAATGTTGTGTTCTATGAGGTACATAAAGAGCAAATGTTGTGTTCTATGAGGTACATAAAGAGCAAATGTTGTGTTCTATGAGGTACATAAAGAGCAAATGTTGTGTTCTATGAGGTACATAAAGAGCAAATGTTGTGTTCTATGAGGTACATAAAGAGCAAATGTTGTGTTCTATGAGGTACATAAAGAGCAAATGTTGTGTTCTATGAGGTACATAAAGAGCAAATGTTGTGTTCTATGAGGTACATAAAGAGCAAATGTTGTGTTCTATGAGGTACATAAAGAGCAAATGTTGTGTTCTATGAGGTACATAAAGAGCAAATGTTGTGTTCTATGAGGTACATAAAGAGCAAATGTTGTGTTCTATGAGGTACATAAAGAGCAAATGTTGTGTTCTATGAGGTACATAAAGAGCAAATGTCGCAACATTTTAATTTTGGATTAAGGAAAATAACAAACCTGATCAATATCATACAGTGAACAGTTCATTTGTTTATTTAGTTGGTTAGTTGGTTTGGAGTTGAAATTATCTGTATTTGTATAGAGGGGTGGAGGCGATATCATTGGTTGGTGAGTTGGTTTGGAGATGATATGTTCTCTATTTGTATAAAGAGGTGGAGGCGATATCATTGGTTGGTGAGTTGGCTTGGAGATGATATGTTCTGTATTTGTATAAAGAGGTGGAGGCGATATCATTGGTTGGTGAGTTGGCTTGGAGATGATATGATCTGTATTTTTATAGAGGGGTGGAGGCGATATCATTGGTTGGTTTTGTTGTTTTGAGTTGATATGATCTGTAAAACGTCCAGGATAATATTTCCCCTCATTCTGCAAAAATAAGATTTTTTCCATGATTAGATACATGAAACATGACAGTTGAGAGACGTCTTTGATCATAGATATTGGTTGAAATAAAACGAAATAACTGAAACGGGTTGATCTAAAAGAATTGTTTCTTTTAAAAAGGTTTTTTAAAATTCTTGAAAATTTCTAGAGACAAAAACTTTATAAGTTTCTTGAAAGTTACGGCTAATCAGCTGTTTTTCTTACTTAAAAAAAAAACAAAAAAATACTTCAACTCTGGAGTTAGCTCCAGGTGGTTATTCCATGCCGGGGTTTCTTGCCCTAGCTAAGGGGTGAACTGGTGAATTTTATTTTCAAAGTATTTTATAATTTTGTTATTTAAATGTAATGAGAATTTTAAAATGTTGGTTTCTAGCATGAAATTTCCCAATAAAAGTCGCGCCGACCGGACCTGCGTTACAGCTGTGGGCTCTGCATAGGGCTATGATAGATTATTTACATTACATACAGTATGATCATGATTATTTACATTATATACAGTATGATCATGATTATTTACATTACAAACAGTATGATCATGATTATTTACATTACATACAGTATGATCATGATTATTTACATTACAAACAGTATGATCATGATTATTTACATTACATACAGTATGATCATGATTATTTACATTACATACAGTATGATCATGAATATTTGAAAAAGATCTTGACTTACTTTGTTCACTAATCCCTCACATGCTGATCTTAGCTTTTTTTCAACGATTTGAAAATCTTTCTTCAAATCCCTAAAATAGGAATAAGGAATAATTAAACAAATATTCATTTTCTAGATGGAGAATTATCTTTTTATAAAATTCAAAGTAGGTGCAACAATTCGCTCTCCAAGAAAGATGTAGCTTTCGATTACAATTTGCACTTTTTAAACTTAAGTTTTTTGTTAATTATCTTTATTTTTTGGGCCTGCTTTTGGAAAGAAACGATATTTAAAGGACAACTTCGTAAGTGATTGTCGAATTAAAGACTAAAACGAGATTTTAAATTGAAGAAACCAAACAGACAAGTGGGTACCTGATTTTGTGGTATATATTTTCTAGCGAACCATCATCTGTTTTTTCTTTAATTTTCATTGAATCTTGTTTTTTAACTTTAATATTATCGAACATCGTATTTTTCTCTTCCTTATTTTTGCAGATTGAATAAAAAGGATGAGATTCAAAATCCTGATTATATCGCCGACCTGAATCTAATTTTATTATTCTCAAAAACATTTTATGCATACAAATTTTCAGATTGCAATAATTTCTTAAAGAGAGTGTTCGCGAAAAATAAAAGGGGGTATAGGCTTACGTCGAAAAATATTCGATGGTGATTGCTACTAATCTTACTTCAATCTGTAGCGTCTATAAGGAGAAAATTGTAAAAACGACTCATACCGAAAAACATAGCGTTCATACAAATTCAGAAAGTTGCAATATTCAACTCGGATCGTAAAAAATCATCGATTTTTTTTTCGAGGCATTCGTATACAGTTAAATTTTGTAATTGTTTCATATACGATGTAATTTAAAGGACGATTTTTTTGTCCTTAGGTGTCGTTGGAGTCTCTTCCACGTGGAACTCCAAAGGCATCGAGCGGGAAGGCCAAATAATCGTTGTTTAAAGTATATTTTATATGAAACAAGTAAAAAATATTATGAAATATCAACTATATACGAATGCCTCGAGAAAAAAAAATCGATGATTATAGGTTGTAATATCTATATGATTTGCTTGGAATTAAATTGAATTTTTTAAGATCCGAGTTGAATATTGCAATATAGATAGAAGTAGGATAAGTAGCAATTCCCATCGAATATTTTTCGACGTAAGCCTGTACCCCCTTTCATTTTTCGCGAACACTCCCTTTAAACTTAATTTTTGTCTGTTTTTGAGACATAAAATTTTCCTAATGGAACCGATTCTGCGGAGTCCAGGATGCCTTTTCGGTACATTTCTCTTTTAATTCCTTCTATTCTAGATCTCGACATCTTCTAAATATATTTTCTGAAATTTTAGTGTCTTTTACTGTTTGGACTATCGTAATCTGTATATTGTTGTAAAGATTGGTCAAATTTTTAAAAGATCACTTTTATTTGTTGAAAAGGAATTGTAGAACAATATTTATTCACTTATTCATTTCATATCGTTTATCAACAAAAATAAAATTGACAATTGAATTGGTGTTTAAACGGTTTATTTGTTATTTTTAGTGCTTAAACGATTAATTTGTTATTCTTGACGTTTAAACGGTTTTCTTGTTATTCTTGGTGTTAACACGATTTTGTTGATATTCTTGGGGCTTAACCGGTTTTATTAGTATTCTTTGTTTTTGAACGGTTAAGTTGTTATTCCTGGTGTTTAAACGGTTTTGTTGTTATTCCTGGCGTTTAAACGGGTTTCTTGTTATTCTTGTTGTTAAAATGATTTTGTTGATATTCTTGGGGCTTAAATGGTTTTATTAGTATTCTTTGTTTTTGAACGGTTAAGTTGTTATTCCTGGTGTTTAAACGGTTTTGTTGTTATTCTGGCGTTAAAATGATTTTGTTGATGTTCTTGGTCTTCAACCGGTTTTATTGTTATTCAAAATGTTTAAACTGTTCAGAAATTTAATTATATATGTATCTGTATCTGTTGTTATTCTTGGTGTTAAAACAATTTTGTTGTTTTGTTGTTTAAATGTTCTTATTCTTGGTGTTCAATCGGTTTTATTGTTATTCTTGGTGTTCAACCGGTTGTATTGTTATTCTTGGCGTTTAAACCGTTTTAGGGTTATTTTTTATGCTTTAAAAGTTTTGCTGACATTCTTGGTGTTTAAACAGTATAGTTTTCAAAACAGTTTTGTTGTTATTGATGTTTTTAAAACAGTTTTGTTGTTATTGATGTTTTTAAAACAGTTTTGTTGTTATTGATGTTTTTAAAACAGTTTTGCTGTTATTGATGTTGTCAGCATAGTTTTCTTGCTATTGTTGTTGTCAACACAGTTTTGTTGTTATTGTTGTTGTCAACACAGTTTTGTTGTTATTGAAGATGTCATCATAGTTTTGTTGTTATTGATGTTGTCAGCATAGTTTTGTTGTTATTGATATTTTCAAAACAGTTTGTTGTTATTGATGTTGTCAACACAGTTTTGTTGTTATTGATGATGTCAGCATAGTTTTCTTACTATTGTTGTTGTCAACACAGTATTGTTGTTGGACGCTATACTGATTCAAAACGACTGAGCTTCTGAAAACAGGGATTGCTTGGTTTAGTTTATAATAAACTATTTCAGAGAATATGTCGTCATCTTGCAGATGTAATATTGTTTTAAAGTAGATTACGTTTTATTTTTTATGTTGAAGGGGTTTACGGGGGGGNTCGGGACTGTCAGACCTTTTCCCTGTACACTGTATAGGATGCAAAATGCTTTCTCAAAGTATATTACGCTTTTCTCTTATTAAACTCAGACTTGCAATAAAAATATATCCTAGAGTAGTGTGTTATACAAATATCTTAGTATATCCTAGAGTAGTGTATTATATATAGAGTAAATACAAATATCTTAGTATATCCTATAGAGTAGTGTTTTATATATAGAGTAAATACGAATATCTTAGTATATCCTATAGAGTAGTGTATTATATATAGAGTAAATACAAATATCTTAGAATATCCTATAGCGTAGTGTATTATATATAGAGTAAATACAAATATCTTAGTATATCCTAGAGTAGTGTATTATATATAGAGTAAATACAAATATCTTAGTATATCCTATAGAGTAGTCTAATCTATATAGAGTAAATACAAATATCTTAGTACATCCTAGAGTAGTGTATTGTATATAGAGTAAATACAAATATCTTAGTATATCCTAGAGTAGTGTATTGTATATTAAGCAAATACAAATATCTTAGTACATCCTAGAGTAGTGTATTATATATAGAGTAAATACAAATATCTTAGTATATCCTAGAGTAGTGTATTATACATAGAGTAAATACAAATATCTTAATATATCCTAGAGTAGTGTATTATATATAGAATACACACATCCTTGTATATCCTAGAGTAATGTAATCTATATAGAGTAAATAGAAATATCTTATTATATTCTAGAGTAGTGTATTATATATAGAATACACATATCCTTGTATATCCTAGAGTGTGGTGTTATACATAGAGTTAATACACATATCCTTGAATATCCTAGAGTAGTGTATTACAGAATAGACTTTAATTACCTATAATATGAAATCTAAATTCAGTTTTTTAATGAAATATTGTTTTATATCTAAACGATACAAACTAATTTGTGAATTAAATTGAACTTATGGAAATTTGGACAGATGCCTGAAATACTTGAGATCAAGAAGAATAAGAATATCTTAATTATTGTAATGTATAAAAAGATATTAAATTAAATGGGAATGAAATTAAAAAAGATATTACTTATTTATCAAAAATATGTATGGTCTATTTTACGGTAAACATTTAATATTTAAAATTTAGAATTAAGAGGTTTGATTATTACATAATCAGGGTTTCAAAGACATTAGGAGAAGAAAATAAAGTTTATGGCAGGTTTAGTTCCTTTAGATTTCTGAACAACTATATTATTCCCCCCCCCTTCTCCTACATTAGAAGGATTTTCTTTTCATGGTGTAAACTGTAGAAGAGTGTAGAATATGAATATAATAAATATATATTTATACTTTACACTTCTCTACATATTTTCATCCTTGAGGCATTCTTTTCATCTTTTCTTCAAACAAAACCAGGTTGACCAGAATAGTAAACAGGGAGAATAGTCAGGAGGGGGTTTT